AAAAAATTATGTTTTTGTCACCTTTTTTTTTTTTTTGATTTAAATCGTGTGAGTTTTTTGAAAACGCGCGCGTTTTTTTGCAGTTCACTAAAAAATCGCGGAGCTCAATACGGATTCTTCGCGTGGGATCTACGCAAAAGATATATCGCTGCTATATATAAATGTGTAGGAATTCTATAATTTTCAATTATATTTTTAACTTCTTTTTTTAAGCAATTTTTTAGTCGCGTGTCGCGTCTGCGACGTCGTCTGCGTCTGTTGGTCAACTGAATTAAGAACGGCCGCTAACGATGACGATGACGCCGGCGCTGCGGCAGCGCTTTGCGGCGACGTCGGCAGAGCGGGTGCTGACGGTCTAGCTAGTTGAATTTTAAAAATATTTCACTTTCAACACTGTACTAGAACTAATTGAAAACTAATATAAAACAAGCCAACAAAATTCGTTCAAAAAGGGAATACTCACTCTTATTTTTAAAGATAAAGTCAAAAAGCTGTCACGTCCGACACCCTGGAAAAATAGTAATCTTATCTTATATAATCCCTTCCCATAATAAATTAAAGTGTACAAAAAAATATTAAAAAAAATATTTATATTTAATAAAAACAAAAATGGAGACCTTGCGAAATGATTTTAAAGTTTCTTTAAAAATTACTCATACGACACGTGGTCGAACAAAATTGTTCTCCCATTTCTAACTTGTAATTGTTTTGAAACAGGGAGTGTAAGCAAATATGTGGTTGATGTCTAGGCCACCAAAATTAAAATAACTTTTTAACTTTAAAAATTTATTTTTTAGGGTAGAGCCTTAACAATATTATTATTATTATTATTATTATTATTTTTACACTGACGAAAACATTTTCACCTAGCTTCTTTTTCGGACACTTGTGGCATCTCTGACTGCGACTGCTTTTCGTCTAGCCGAGTGGGCAGCGGAATTGCGTCGCTGCCGCAGCGCAGCTGCTGTTGCTCTTATTGTTTTTTTGTTGTTACTATATTTCACATTTTTTTTGTTGCTCCGCGGTGCAGTGCAAATTGTTGCTGGCGGTGCGGAAATCACAAAAAATTAGACGACCCCGATGGACACACAGCTCCCGTGATTGCCATCATTCTGGATGCTAGTTTTGCGAGTTCTGGTTGGTCTTGTAGTTTTGTTTTATTTTCTATTTTTTTTCAGTGGTGCCCGGGGGGCGTGGCCAGCTCCCACCCGCCGGCGGGCCATTAAGAGCAATTTGTTGACAGTGACACACAAAAATGGACACACAAAGCGACGCGAGGCGACAAAACAGGCTCAACCAAACAAACAAACCGAAACCAAGCCAAACGAACAGAAAAAAATCACACAGAAAAACTAAAACAGCAATGATAACAAGGAGGGAAAATCGGAAAATGTGAGACAATTCAGTGACATCATCAAATCACTTTAATTGCAATCGCCCCGAAGGTTGGGGAAATGAGTGGGGACAAAGGATATTGGTATTGGATGGGAATATTATATTTATGTTCTTGGCAACTTTGATTTATTTCTTATCATCGAGAATGAAAAAGTGCCTCCAACTGTTGCTCCTTAATTCTTCTACAGAAAGTATCTTCGGATGTCTGCATCTGAAACTGATGGAATTTTAAACGTTCTACGTTTAAACAGGTGAAGTAAACTAATACAGGTACAGCTGCGGTGGAAAATTTAGATCTGGACTGGAATATTTTTAATATTTAGTAGGTTAGATTTAGTAATTTTACAGAATTTACAAGAAAACCCTTAAACAAAATCCATTAAAAAGATTTTTAGTTCCAAATATTTCTACAACAATAAGTAAAAGTTTGCGATAAAAAATATAAATATAAATAAATATATATTTATCTATTTCTTTTTTTATAGTTTACCAAAGCTATTGACTTGACCGCGTCTGTTGCTCGCTGGAGTGGTCATCGTTTGGCCATCGTCTCGACACATCCGCTGGGCATTGGGCATTGGTCATGTGTGCTTCATGAGGCTTTTCATTTTTTATTTCCATTTTCCATGCACTTTTCTGATGCGTGTGTCTTTGTGGGGGCACGCAGATTTCCGCTGCAGCTTGACATTTGCAGTTGTCTGTCGGTGATAAGAGCTCCGCAGCGGACAAAAGGCAACGCCAAGCGCCAAACGGCAAACGGCAAAGGAGGATGAGGATGATGATCATGGAAGCATGTCAATTGCACAAAGATACAGATACAGAGATACATGTCTCTATGCCAGCTTACTATATTTATTTTTACATGCGCGATGTCGTGCTGCTAAAGCGTGCAATTTGCCACAGCAGCTATACTATACGCCATATATTCTATACTATATGGACACTATATAGTGGCTGGATCCAGAGACAAATCAAAGGCACCAGACGACCAGCGACAAACGAAAAAGAGCGCACGGAAAAAATGAAAATGTGTGTCAACAAATTGCACAAATTATCAGCAGTTGAGCGCAGTTTGGGTATACTTGAAAGAACATTAATCTATTCGTAAGGCTAAAAGTTCGAATTGAGGGATATAAAGAAGGGTTTTTACAAGACAATAGTCTATCTATATTAAATCAAGGAATTCCATTTATTTATTTTAATAATATTTTAAATAATAACAACTATTAAGTGGGGCTCCACTGTACTTGAACAGCACGCTTGTGGGCGGAGTGGGCGGCATCGGCATCGCATCGATCCACATGACAATGGGCTAATTACAGGGAATCCATCACGAGGAATCATCCCACTAGTTAAAAAAAAAATCAAACTCAACACTTGACCCTGCTTCGTCTGCCCTTTTTGGTTTGTTTTGTTTTTATTTTTCCCATTCCACTCAATGTCGATTTGTATACTAAATCTCAGCTACTGTAAACACAAGCCACAAACATGCGTAGGATTTGAATATTTAAAATTGAACATTAGCTGGAAATTTAAATATGCAGACAGGGAGCGAACATTTAAAGAACAAAGTATATAAAAAACTATAATTTGATAATATTAAAATGTCTACACAAGAAAAATAAAATAAAAAGAATTTTAAATAAAAGTGCTTTAATGTTTAATTTAAAGAACTAAATAAAAAATGACTTAAAACAATTGTATGACTTCCAAAAAAATTTAGCCTGCATTGAACACTTGTCTCTTGTAGACTATAGTGTTTAAAATCAAATAGACAATCCCCAGTTAATGAAAAATAGCCCCGTTTGGAATGCAGGAGTTTCCTCATATATGACATACATACTTATATGCAACTACGATCCCCGGCAAAGCTGCCCATCAATGGTCACAGAGCCCAACCCAAATTAAATAAATGGTTTTTTCTCGATGCTTTTTTTTAGGTGCGAATGCAGAGGAAAAATATACAGATACATCCATCACTTGCAATTTGAATTTTTTATTTTTGGTGCGTTGGCTGTTGGCGACGCCGACGCGATGACGTCACAGATTTGTTTAACCAGCTAACCTTGGCCCGATCTACCCTCTCACTCGCACTAATCGAGATTTATATTCTGTGCATTTTCACTGTTTACACTCGAAAAAATATTTAAAATATTTGTGATTAAAAGTTGTGATTAAAATCCTTCATAATATTAATGATGTCTTTATTTATTAATATTAATACGAACTAAAAAGGTCATTGAAGATTAATAAAATTAGGGAAGTTTCTATTTAAACTCGAAATTAACTTTTTTACCAATCCAATAAATTGTATTTATAACGAAAAATACTTAAGAATATGAAAAAAAAATCCAAAGCAAGATAATATTAAGATAATGCATTTAAGAAACTTATTAATAGCAAACAATATTTTTGAGTGCAGATTTGAACTTGTCACTTGTCAGTTCTTCGATTTGTGAATTGAGCAACAACTTGATCGGCACTTCCCATTAATCCCCCGCCATCTCGAAAAAGGAAAATTGGAGATGGAGATGGAGGCACTTGGCAGGCTCATTAAATAGTCGTGGAAATCTTCGCCTCGGCTACCCTTTGTTTTTGTTTTCTTTCTTGGGGTTTTTGGTTTGTTTTTGAAGTGCTCCACATTCTGTTGCGCTTTCATGTGGCATGCCACGCCCCCCGCCCCCGCATCATCCTGAAGAACTATTTTCGGTTCGTCTGACACACACCGATGGGCAGGAAAAGCGGAAAAAAATGGGAAATGAGCGGGGTGAGTAATTGTTTACATTGCGCTTCTTGTGAGCTACTTTACGGCCCAGCATGTGACCCCGCCCCCTAGGTTTTCCTCCCATTTTCCGCCTTCCCCTCTTCAGGCAACAAAAAAATTTTATTTGTTGGTTTTTTCGCGCCCTGCATTTCCCCTTTTTTTTTGATGGATTGTTTTGCGGTCCACTGAGATACACGAAACTTTAAGTTTAAACTAACAGCAACAAAAATATCCAAAGGAAACCGAAACACAATATTCCATATACACAGGGGAAAAAAAGGATGGCCAGAAGCCACACATATTTGGATGGCATGTAAAAGTAAACAATATCAAAAAGATTTGTTCTTTGATTACCTTGAATTCTCTTAAACGTTTTGGAGATATCTGTATGTAAACATTTCCTCTGGGCAACCTTTGAAAATGTACCAAAATATCTAAATCTTTGTTTACACTACTCGTACTTAGTTTGTGGAAAATGTATTTCAGTGAAAACAAAAATGGGAATCTTAAAGTCATTAAAAAAAAAAAAAAGTTTAAGATAAAATTATTCAATATCATTATTAAGTATATTTCTTTTAGTTATGCAAAATATACAATCTATAGTAACACAAATATTTCATTTAATTCTTCTGAAAATTGTTTAAGTATAAATAAAGTATAATTTCTCATTTAAAAAAGTATAAATAAAAGTATAATAAAATATAAAAATATTGCCAAATTTAAATCACATTGATCTTTTTTGATATTTCCAATTTTTTTTTATAAATTTATTTTACGAATTTTCAAAAACAAAATTTTTGAAACCCTTTCCCCTACTTAAGTTGAACCCAGGTGAACTTACGATTGCAGTGTCGAGAGATTTGTGGCCGAGGCTCCTACGCCGCATGCCGTGGAATGCATTTTGCAACTTTCGCCGATTTTATTGTGCTCTTTATGGGATTAGCACCTCCTCTCTAGATTTTCGATGCCGCCAGCTGGCGATTTGAATCGTTTATGCCAATGCACGCACAGTAAAAAATTCACAAAAAAAAGAGGAATTTTGAATAATAAAAACGACACGGTTTGATTTCCTTAGATGTATTTAATAGGTGTTTAGGTTGGATTTTTAATTTTGATGTTGCTGGTTTGTTCTTGGTGTTGCTGGTTGCAAGTTGCTAGTTGCAGGTTGCAAGTTGCTAGTTGTCGCGTCTTTGGCAGCGACAATTTTGGATGGCGGCGGCGTTCGCGACGTTCAGTTTCCGACTGAATACCTACTTTCCGCCGGAGATGCCGTCCGGAGATTCTGCGGCGGCGACGCCGGCAGAGGCAGCGGCAGCGGCAGAGCCCGGCCCCATTTCCCATTAACATTACCATTACCATTACCATTCCATGCCACCTCATAGCTATAGCCTATAGCCCCATCTATATATACAGATCCGAATCCAAATCCACCCACGTGGGCCGGCCAATTGTTGTTGCCGCTAGCATAAACATTCGAGCATCCACATACAGTGCGCGACGGGCAAATAAGGAATTCGAAAAAATCAAGGGGATATGATTTAATATGGGTCCACAAAGAATACAGTTGAAACTTAATCATAATATATATTTATACCCTTGCAGAGGGTACTATAATTTCAGTCAAAAGTTTGCGACGCAGTGAAGAAGACGTTTCCGACCGCCAAGTTACAGCAAAAAAACAAAAAGGAAAAATTGATATTTTTGTCAAAAACCAAAATTGCGAATTTTCCACAAACAAATATTTCGTTTTTTCGCCGAAACAACGGAAATATTGATCCAAATTTGGATTGTTATACCTTTCTGAACTCGTTATTAAATTTAAAATCGATTGGCATTTAAACCTGGATATTTTATTTTTTTGACATTTTTCGCAAAAAATCATGATGTACCCCCTTACAAAAAAAAATGAAAATTTGCAAAAATTTTATTTTAACAAGATTACCCGGAAAGTGTCATGGATTTATTTATTATTTTGTTATCTGTTCAAAACAGTTTGTATTTTTGGTGTAGGGCCATTTTTGGCTAAGTTATAGCAAAAATTCAAAAAGGAAAATTTGCTATTTTTGACAAAAACCGAAATGCGAATTTCCAAAAAAAAACCAAACAGATTACTTACAATGCGCTTTACCATCAGTACGCATTTATTTCCTACGAAAAGTAATTTATAGTTCTAAACAAATTCTTTCGCATTTGCTTTACGTTTCCGAGCTGCACTGTCCAAACAAGATAAATAACCGAAAAGGAAATGACTGCCGTTGTAGGTGAGCAATGCATGTCATTGTTTTATTTTACCATAATTAAACGACTCGAAAGATCAAAAACAAAAAAGCAACAGAAGACCCACGCGACGTATACGCAATGTGTCTATAGCCATTGATAAAGTTTTTTCAAAGAAAGCCAAGGAAGGCAGAGCTAAGGATTGCAAACGATATAAACCGAATAACTAATCCACGATTTTTAATTAATTTCAGGCGGATAGTTCTAAGGATTGCAAACGTTATAAACTCGATAAAAAGAATCCATAACTAATCTATAATAATATTTAATCCATTTCAAGCGGATAGTTCTCTTGATTCCACGAACAACATGTGTTGTTAGTTTGCGGGAATCTCTGTGGTGGCAGGAATCCCATGAATCACGGCCGTATAAAATATATCCCCATTAATGTTCCAGTCTTCCGAGATGGATATATAGTCCGAGTCATAGATTATGCGGACCGACAAGATACAATGGCGAAAAGTAGAGTTTATGGGCTGTGGCAACAAGTAGCGTAGATGGAATTCCCATTATTAAAGGGTGGATAATATTATTATAATATTTTATTGTTATATTGTAAGTATAAGCAACTCATTCCAATCTAAAATCATAAAATCATTACATTGATCCTTGGAAACACATCCCCATGTCTTATTTTTTCATCTACTCCTCTGACTAAACCTATAAACAATCCGCCACTTGTTTGTTTACAATCCCCATTCGAGAAGAGGAAAATCCCAAAATCGAAGAACGAAAGCTGAAAATGGAAAATTGAAAAGAGAATTGGAAGCGCTATGTGAGATATTCCATCTGGCCGTGTAATAAAGATCGGCGGGTGGCGGGGTTTACCACAAGAAAAGGAAAAAAAGGAAAATAAACTGTGGATGAAAAGGGGGAGTATCTTAAATACAAAAATAATATTACAAGGGAGGGGGAATAGCTGGCAAAATGAGGCACTTATGTACTTAGAGCGATGTGAGATGTGAAGTCGAGAACTCGGGAACTTGGGAACTCGCAGAAACAGAAACAGACCCACTCGACCACTTGACATTGATGGGTGAGGATTTTCAGGAGATCCCACAGAGCATTCGGCCCGACTCGAGTGGTGTCACTTGGCCACACAGTCGCAATCACTCCCGCCCCCCGGAAAACAGCTCGTAAAAATCCGGAATAAACCAAGAAGTGACATCAGCCCTGTGAAATTCTTGCTCGTTTCATGTTCGAATTTCGTTGGCCAACAAAAAAATTCCCGAACGAAATTTGGCCAATACCAAAATTGTCTCTCAATTAAGCTTCAATTGGCACAACCAAGCCAAAAGCAAAAGAAGGGCAAGTCAATTAATGAGGTGAATTCTGAATGGTCTTCAACAATATATATAAATATATAAATAAGTAAAAATATTTCAAATACAAATTTTAGAAACTAAAAAATTAGATGATTTATACTACAAAAAAATATATTAAAATTATTTAATATTAGGTACAATATAGCAGGTAAATATTTTAAATTTTCCTTTTAACGTTTTCAAGTCAACTCCATAATCAAGCGACCTTTTGAGCTCGGCAAGGGCAGCCGGTGAAACTGAGTGAGGTATCAATTAAAATTGGAGTCGCGTGGCGATTAGCGCCATTATCCGATATCCGCAATCGCAGTGGGCGCGGTACAAGTTTCCGGTATTGTCCCACATTCCCGCCCCTTTTTTCTCCTATTTAACACGCAGCGAAAAACAGGGGTACGTAATAAGGGTAAATAATATTTTAGCTCCTTGATTCGTATCTTGCTTATGAGGTTTGATTCTTAAACATTTGGTTTTTATCGGATCTATATTTATATTTCTTGAATAACAAATGTTATAATATTTTTTTTCAGTGCCCGCTGAGGTCACGCCACCCATGGATTCGGCGTTCGTTGGCCTGCTTTGTTGTCTTTGCCGCTGGTCTATTTATTGTTGTACAGTTTTCTGGGCCATAAACATTGGACTCTGCAAGCAGAACAATAAATAAGAACATAGAAAATAGGAAACTACAGAGGGAGAACAGCGATTTCTTATAATATTTTTAAATATTATAATGGCTGTGAAATCCTTGATTTTTTCTTTAACTTTCAATAAAGGCAAGGAAAAAAGGAATTCTATATCAAACTAGGGAAATGTTTTAGTACTTTAGCTATTTTTCTCTGTGTATTCCGATATAAACTCAATTCAGGTACGGATATACGGGTGGTTCCACATCCGGGCGATCCACTGGCCTCACTTGCAACGTCTGCCAGAGACTCCTCTTGTTTGCCACCCCTTTTCCCAGCTTCCCGCGGCTCTTCTGCAGATCACTGTAGGCGGGCGGCGGGGGATTTGGATTTGAATTGGGATTGGGATTCCGGGCGAAAACGCCTCGAGTTCGGCGTAGAATCCGACGGCCGGGCATCCGGACCGGAGTCAGCCAGCGCAGCTGCTCCAGACGACGCTTGTGACGCTGCCGGAGCGTCCGGGAGGCGCAGTACGGACGCACGGTGATGTAGAAGAATATCTCGATCACCGAGAAAATGCTAAAGCCCATGAAGAGACCCAGAAGGCCGCCAGTGTTCGCTGAAAGATAGGGGAATATAAGTAAATTAAATAAATATATTCATAAAATAAATAAATATATAGTAATTAAAAAGAAGAAAATTAAAAATAAGAACTATTGTATAAACTCATTTGTATTATAAATTATTCATTTATAAGTAGGATATTATGATTTTTTAAACTCTAAGAATTTCCATTTTTTAAATATTAAAACTCGTATTGTAGAAAAAACTTACCCAAAAATTGGATAAGAAGTGTTTAAGTAAATATATTCATAAAATAAATGTATAATGGTAATTAAAAGGAAGAAAATCAAACAAGTTTAGTAAAAATTCATTTGTATGATAAATGATTCATTTATAACAAGAACATTGTTAGGTATTTATGAAAATAGCTGCAGAAAATTTTTTTCGAAACTCAAACAATCTTTGGTATTTCTTCCTTTATTCCCATTTTCTTATCATTAAATATTAAAAACTCTTATTATAGCAAAAACTCACACAAAAACTCGGTAAAGCCAAACATTTCGGACTTGGTGGTGCTGCGGAATATGTTGGTCATGTAGTAGAAGTGCAGGATGGAGATCTCGCTGGCGTTGCTATATGGTCCGTGGAAGATATAGTCGGGCAAGTTCTCGCCGGCCTGAAAGCGCGGATCCGAGACGATCGAGGCCGTCGAGAGGGTTGCCTTGTAGGTGAGCTCGAAGCAGCCCGGCCAGCAGCTTTCGCAGGACAGGTTCGTCATCGAGGACTCGATCTCCGTCTGCACCCGATCGGTGCACTGGTTGTCGTTGGGTCCGCACACCCTGGCCAGCGGATCGATCCGCGGCAGGTAGTACAGCACACAGCTGCACTCGCGGAGCAGCAGCTTGGCCTCGCACTCCAGCTCACAGTTCTTGCGCGAGTACGTCCGGTAGTAGGCCAAATCGTTCTCGTCCGAGAACAGACAGCGACGCACCGACTTCTTGATGGTCCGTATCGTGGGCAGGGCATCCTCGTAGACCGGCTCGATGGGAATCCGAGCCTCTCGTCCGGCTGTCACCACGAATCCGTAGTTGCTCACCTTCGGCAGCTCGGCCGGATTGTGGACGAGGACCTTTTTAATGGTTAGAAACGCACATAAACATTATTTTTTTTATTTTTTTATATTTGATAAACGTTTCTAAAATAACAAAAATATTTTCGAAATTTTAGAAAATGACTTATATTTCCAAAAAAAATATTAGTAATTTGGCCGAAACAATATTGATTCAAATATGGATTGTCATACCTTTCTGAACTCGTTATTAAATTTCGAATAGATTGGCATTTAAGCCTGGACATTTTATTTTTTTGCCATTTTTCATGATGTACCCCCTTATTTTAACAATATCATCCGGAAAGTGTCTTGGATTTATTTATTATTTTGTTACCTGTTCAAAACAGTATGTATTTTTGGTGTAGGACCATTTTTGGCCAAGTTACAGCAAAAATACATAAAGGAAAAATTGCTATTTTTGTCAAAAACCGAAATTGCGAATTTTCCAAAAAAAAATATTTGGTTTTTTCGCTGAAACAAAGGAAATATTGATCCAAATTTGGATTGTCATACCTTTCTGAACTCGTTATTAAATTTAAAATCGATTGGCACTTAAATCTAGACATTTTATTTTTTTGACATTTTTCGCAAAAAATCATGATGTACCCCCTTACAAAAAAAAATGAAAATTTGCAAAAATTTTATTTTAACAAGACCACCCGGAAAGTGTCATGGATTTATTTGCTATTTTGTTATCTGTTCAAAACAGTATGTATTTTTGGTGTAGGACCATTTTTGGCCAAGTTACAGCAAAAATACATAAAGGAAAAATTGCTATTTTTGTCAAAAACCGAAATTGCGAATTTTCCAAAAAAAAATGTTTCGTTTTTTCGCTGAAACAAAGGAAATACTGATCCAAATTTGGATTGTCATACCTTTCCGAACTCGTTATTAAATTTAAAATTTGGCATTTAAATCTAGACATTTTATTTTTTTGACATTTTTCGCAAAAAATCATGATGTATCCCCTTACAAAAAAAATGAAAATTTGCAAAAATTTTATTTTAACAAGACCACCCGGAAAGTGTCATGGATTTATTTGCTATTTTGTTATCTGTTCAAAACAGTATGTATTGTTGGTGTAGGACCATTTTTGGCCAAGTTACAGCAAAAAAACAAACAGAAAAAATTAAAATTTTTACCAAAAACCAAGATTCCAATTATTAACAAAAAAATAATTCGCTTTTTTATCATAACAATGGAAATATTGATCCAAATTTGGATTGTCATACATTTCTGAACTCGTTATTAAATTTAAAATCGATTGGCATTAAAACCTGGACATTTATAAAAATATTGAAAATTTGCACAAATTTTATTTTAACAAGAAAAATCAGAAAAATAAATATGTTTAAACATTTAAAACATAAACATTTAAAAATATGAAACAATTAACCCAATTTAAATACTGACGGCTTATAATACCTATAATATAAAAGTAATAACTAACAGTCTCACCTTGAAGCCCACACTCATGGACTTGGTGCAGTAGTACTCCGCAATGGAGGCGTTCAGCACGACGGTCAGGCCCATCCGGATGCCAGTGCCGCCCGAGGTGCGCGGGTAGTAGAACTCGGGCAGCTTGCGGGCATAGCCCTTCTCCGGCGTCCAGTCGATGGGCTCGTAGCGGGAATTCGGCTGTGCCGGCTCCCACCTCACGTCGTCGCTATAGTTCCGAATGAGATACGATGGGTCAAGGGCATTGAAGTTGCAGCACAGCCCGTCGTCCGTGAGGATGGAGTTGAAGAGCAGCGAGCACTCCTCCTCGCGCGAACCAAAGCTGCAGTAGAGCAGCATCTTCTCGCACGGCTGGGCCACCTCGACGAGGATCGCCTTGAAGTACTTCCAGGTGCCGATGTACGAGATAGTGGTGTCCCCGCCCTGGTCGCACAGGCCCATCAGCAGGGAGAAGTTCGTGCTGGTGCGGGAAATGCGATCCACCTGGCTGAGCAGCGCCTGGTTGAGATTGCAGATGGTGATGGCCGGAAAGGGCATGTTGCTGGTCAGCTTTTGCTTGGCGCTGGTCGAAATGATGATCGGCGAGGCGCTCCACTTGACGTAGACGTTGGAGATGAAGAACCCGGAGAGGATCACCACCAGGACAAAGGCAATGCCGAAGAAGACCCTGAAAATAGGTATATTTTATTTAAATAATTTTAAATAATTTTTAAACAATTAACCAACCTTTCCGGAATGGTGATGCTCTCCTCGGCTATGTACTTTAACCCATGCAGCGTGCTGTTCTTGAGGTAGTAAACCACACTCCTCTTGATCGCCGCACAGCTGCAGATGGTTTGCTCATCGTCCTCCGAATCCTGGGAATCCCTCCGCCACATCGAGGAGCCACTGTGACGCCGCCTGCTGTCCGTCAACCGCCTCATGATGCACTGTATCCCGAAGTTTGCGGATCGCCAGTATTTATAGAGGTCACAACTCCATTTGCACTTGCACATTTCCATTGCGGTCATCAGGCGTAATCATATTGACCCAAGGCAAACAAGGTCGTCCATTTGCTGTGATAACTGCCAAATTGATTTTGGCCCCCTTTTTGCAATCCGCAAATGTCGAAAATCAGGCATAGATAAAGTTTACACTTGAAAGTAAACAAGGATGCACGCACGCTATTCACTAACAGAAATTGCATTTTTAAATTTAAATTCTGGAAATAAATATGAAATATAAATTAAAAAAATAACTTAATATTTTAGTTAGAGTTATCAAAAATATAATAAAAAATTAAAAATATAAGTGCGCTTAAAATAGCTCATAAATTTGGAAACAAATCTAAAATCTAAATTGGTCAAGAATTTGTATGGGCGCCAAATGTTGCCGCAAATAATAACACATTCATTTCAAAACTCAGTGTGGCAAAATTCATTTAATGGGCATCTTTCGTGAGCCAGTTAAGTACTTCATAAATAATATCAATCAGGCAGGGGCATTCTTGCCCCTCTCAGCCATTAACACTAACATACTAATGGTGGATATTTTGATTTTCCTTCATAGTACATATATATACAAAATAATTCTATGGCGAGGCACCTTATTATAGAACGATAGTGAATTAGGTATCATAAAATACAAAATATAAAACTATATTGTTTATGTATTTACATAAAACATCTTCAACTTGATTCATGCATTCAAAACAAATGAATTACCATTTCACAATCATTTTCTTTTGAATATTAATCTTTAAAAAACTTAAAAATAAAATAATTCCTTTCTTACGTATATATTTACATTTGCATTTTCTTTAATTCAGTTAATTCAGGAAAACAAATAGAATGCAGATTTCAAATATAATGATTCATTTTCAAGTTTTTCTAATTTAGAAAAAAATCTTAAATTTCATAATGATTATTTTTCCAGGAACTAATAATACAGATTTAAAAAAAAGTGGTTTAAAAGTTCTTAATTCAGAAACTACGTGTCGCATCTAATTAGGATTGAACTGGAAGAAGTCCACGTTGAGATCGAGAATGGCCTCCGCATTGGGCGTCTCCTTCATGGTCAGGGCCTCCACGGCATTGTCGCTGGCATGATCGTAGCCATGATTTACGGTCGTTGGAGCAGCTGCCACCGGCGGCTGCATGAGATCGCTGACATTCCTTAGCAGGCTCTCCTCCGACGGCGGATGCAGTTGCCCGCCCGCGGACAGATTGAGACGCTGGGCAGCCTCGTCCGTGAGCGGATCGTCCAGCGACATGCTCAGCTCGGCGTAGACCACCAGATTGCGGGCTCCTCCGCCGGCGCCATCCATCTCGGGCATGGGAGCCTGCGGCGATTCCATCGCAGACATGTCCAGCGCGTACTGACCCTCGGGAATGCCCAGAACGCGTGCAATCCGGGCATTTACGAAATGCAATCCCGAGGTATTCCGGATGAGCCGCTGGCTGCGCAGCTGCAGCTGCTCCACAAAGTCGTTGAGTTCGTTGAGGAAGAGATCGGAGCGCTGCTCCTCGCTGAGATGCGAGTGCCGCTGCAGTTGGGCCGTCAGGAGGCCAAATAGCGAGGGCGTGGCGGAAGGAGGCGGCGGTGCTGTAGCACCAGGACGTGGCATGTGCTCCGGGAACTTGACAAAGTGACGCTGCAGTCGGCGGCCCAGGAAGATCTTTCCACAGCCGGGGCAAACGGCATTCTTGGGCACGGCCCGAGGTGCAGGGTTCGTTGTGCAGGGTTCACTCTTGGTCTCCGGCTCCGGCTTGGGTGCCCGGTAGTCCTTGTCCCGCAAATCGGCCACCAGCATCTCCAGCATCTGAGCGGAAGTGGGCTCCGCGGCGGGTGCATTGACTACGGGAGCGGGCCGCGGCATGGAGCTGCGCACCTGGCGACCGGAGCGCGTGCGGTGCGTGTCGGGAGCGGGCTCTTCCTCCGCCGGCGGCTGCTTCTTGGCCGCCGGAGCAGCGGACACCATGGCGCTGACCCTTTTCAGGGGTCTGCCCACTTTGGGCGGCGGATTTTGGGCATTTCTCGCCACCGGCGGACGAATGCCCATGCCACCGGGATCCGGGCAGCGATAAATGGTCATCTGCTGGGTCCTGGCATCCGTGCGAATCACCTGATTGCGCTTTCTGTAAAGGATTACAGGGTTATTGAGGATTAATAGGCGAACTAAGTGAGTACTACCCACCGATCGATGACTATGTGATCCTCCTTGGACAGCTTGTGCAGGCTGCAGGCCAAGCGGCAGAGAGTGTCCTGCTCTCGCTGCACATCCTCCCCAGAATCGGTCACTTCATCGGGGGGCGCGCAGTTCTCGGCCGGATTCTTGGCAGCCTGCCGTCGTTCCTCCACAATGCCGGACTTTTCCGGCAGCGCCTGCAGGTCGGCCAGGACCAGGGGATCCTCCAGGAGGTGCTTCATTGGCCAATCACGTTGCTGGTCACCAAATAAATGCAGTAAACAAATTAAATCCAGCCCTCTCGCAGGGATTCTCAGTATTTATATACTAGTTTATATACCGAAATTAATACCAAAGGCCTGGATAGGCGTTAGGGAGTTTTAGGCAATTTTTCGTCTTTTAGTATTTTTATACTAATTTCCGGGTAATTTGATTTGGACTCCTGATCCTCTGGAGAAATGTACGGCAACAGGGGAGTCATCAACGTGCCGTGGCACCAGCACCGGCACGGCGCCCGCTTCGATCGCCCCTTTCCCTCGATGAGCCGGCCGGAATGCATCGGCGTCTGCAGCATCGACGCTCGCCGGGATTATGTGGACGACGCCAGCGGGGCCAGCTACCTGGTTGGGCCACCCTGGCCCCCGCTGCCCATCGATTTGAATGCGGGTATAGAGGACGTGATCCGTAAGTCCACGGACTTCGCCACCAAGGACCTGGAATTCGTTCTCCTTTACATCCGGCACCACAAGGAGCAGCTGCTCCGGCGGCGCCACTCCGATCCCCACGCCTTCACCCTGGACACCGACTTTGTGACGCTGCGCGGCATCCTGCGCCAGATCATGTGCATGCAGTACGAGTGGAACCGCGAGTTCCGCATCAAGGCCACCCGGCTGAACGGCACCATTTACATGGCCAAGGAGGAGACGCCGGAGCAGCGGCTGGAGAGCGAGAGCATGACCCGGGGCCAGCTGGACATGTGCTCGTGGGGCTTCAAGTTCGAGCAGTATGTGACCAGCAAGGAGGCGCAGGGCAAACCGGTTACGGATGTGCCCGTCAACGAGGCGGAGGAGTTTATGGCCATGTTCCGGGGACAGCTGGCCGGTTTGAGGCTGCTCTTCGGCGCCGAAATGGACTGTGTGGTCAGCAAGGAACCAGTGTGAGTTTATCTCTCGGATGGAGTCTTTTGATTGCTTGAAAATCCCCTTCATTTTAGTGACTTCAAGGATCCCAAGGTGCTGGACTCGCTGAAATTCGTGGAGCTGAAGACCTCGGCCCACAACATGAACCACAAGCAGCTGCGCAGCTTCGACAACTACAAGTCGGCCAACTGGTGGAGCCAGTCGTTCCTGGTGGGCATCCAGACGATCTACGCGGGACTGCGCGACTCCCGGGGGCTGGTGCAGGAGATCAAGGAGTACGACGTCCGCAGTTTGGCCCGCAACAAGCCGTGGAGTCCATCGGCCATGGCCTGGTTCCTTGAGCAGTTCCTGCGCAAGCTCAAGGAGCTGCTGGTGGCCCTCGACGATCCCTTGGCCGTCGTCCAGGTGACTTTCCGGGACCGAATGGCCAACTACGAGGTGCTGCGCGGCCCGGAACACCAGATCCTGCCGGACTGGTATCGCGAAATGCTCAAGACGGAATAAATAATTAAGGCTCTTAACTTAAGTCACTCCAGTCAACCATTAAACTAAAACAATTCCTTAATAATAAACTAGTATAGAATCTTAGGAAAAGATTTACTAATTTAAAAGACTAATTCATCATTCTAGAACTAAGATCTTGCTTAAAAACAATGCATAAATATTGCATTTACCATATAAAAGATGTACTGGTATCGCGAAATGCTCAAGGCGGGATAAATAATTAAGGCTCTTAACTTAAATCAGTCAAGTCTACCATAAAACCAATAAATTTGGGAAGTATTTTCCACAATTCCTTAATAAGAAACTAAAATAGAATATAACGATAAGATTTACTAATAAATATAAGTTTGTCTGCTTAGTAAAAGACTAATTAATCTTTCTAGAACTAAGAACTTGCTTAAAAACAATGTATAAATATTGCCTTTCGATTTTAATGATTATCGCACGATATAAAAGATGTACAACCTGACTTAAAGCTAACATTGAATGCATTAATCACTTGAGGTCGTCGGTCTCCAGCAGGGGAACGGCACTGGGCTCCAGTTTGCCGACGGTCGGACCATAGCGACGCCTGTCCGGCGGACCGCCAGCGGTGAAGCCGCCGCCCATTCCGAATACATGACCTCCGCTGCCGCCCAGGGACTCCCGCTTCTCGATCACACAGTCGAAGAAGCGGGACAGCTTCACGGCATCGGTGGTGCCGGCGGCCAGACTGCGGTTGTCCCGGCAATTCAGCCAGATCTCCTCGGCGCCACACTTGTCGGCTGAAGGAAATAAGCCAAATATAAAGCGGATATATTGGTTTAAATGGATAGATAGACGCACCAATGCCGCCCGCCTTCTTCACCGCCGTCTTCGGCTGGCGCTTCTCGTCGATGAGGTCCAGCTTGGTGCCCATCACCAGGATGGGCGTCTGCGTGGCGCCCAGGAACTCCTCCATGTCGAAACGGATGTGTCCATCGGTGCCAGAGGTATTTGAGGAGAAACTGCTCAGCGGGGTGGTCGGCGAGGGGGGCAGGGAGCTGCCGCGCGACTTGTACGTGTCCTTGCCCTCCTTGTTGACGATCTCGTACAGCCAGTCGAGCAGCTGCTCCTGCGACTTGCCGTTGGTCAGGTCGTGGACCAATATGATCCCATGGACGCCCGTGTAGAAGACGCTGCGGGTGTTCTTGTGGCTCAGCGAGCCGCCGACATCGAAGAGCTCCACGAAGTAGGGGCACTGGCGGGCGGTGCCCTCCTTGAACTCGTGGATCTTCACCTGGATGTTGCAGCCGACCGTCCAGCCAGGTCGGATCAGCGACTCGTTGTGGGCGATCAGGTGCGTCAGGCAGGTCTTGCCCACGCCTGCGGAGGGGGCGAAACGATTCTCGAGAGGATTAGTGACCGGTGGCCAGTGGTCGGAGGCGTCTGTGGCCAATATTTACCCGAATCTCCGACAACAACAATCCGCACCCGGTTGTTCATGGCCATTCTGCAGTGTGACCATGGCAGGCGCATTCAAATAAGGGTCTGTAAAATATACCAAAATACATCAGAACTAATTGATAAAATATTACAAATATATGGAAAGTCTTTGAATTTGTTAGATCGTAAATATTTACTATTAATTTATTCTTATTATTAAATTATTTTATTATTATTTAACTATTTCTCATCGTTTCGTTTTTAGTATATCCCTCCCCGCTAAGCGGTATTGAGTACCAGACACGGTCACACTAGCCCCAAAGCTTAAAAAAAAACACTTGGCAAAATTGAGATAATAAACAAAATCAAAAATAGTTGAATTTCGAAAAAGATGGAATACGAAAGTGTGCTGATCGTTAAGCCGGAGGTGTTTATCTACAAAATACCGCCCCGTGCGAGCAATCGAGGCTATAGGTGAGTCGACAAATCGGAACGGAAAAAAAGGTGACTACTCTTTTCGTTTTCGCCCCCTTTCTCAAAGGTCCAAAAACTGAAAGTTTTTCGTGCATTTCAACGCCCCCACACTGCACATATATGTGCGTACATATAAGTACGTATGTATGTGCGTATATCATGGGTGTTTTTGGGGGTGTAAGAATGCATTAATTATGTTTTTTTTTAGCCAAGGTTAAAGGCACCCCGACTTCTTCCCGTTGTTGTTGTTGTTGTTGTTGTTGTTGTTCCTTTGCCTCTGAAGTTCAATTCCAATTGATTTTTTTTTCCGTGCAATTATTGTTGTTGAACATTTTCACTTACACGTATCCAAAAAAAAAAGAAAATATAAAAGCTCTGCTGGCGTGTGTGTAATTGTTGCTATTGCAGCTCTCTTTGTTTTCCTTTTGTTGCTGTTTATTTCACAGTTAACTGCGCTCAGGTGAGCAAATAACACAAATTAACCGAATACCTCGAATATTGGGGGTATTACGGGAATTATCCCTCAGAAACCCCATTAATCAGTCGACTGGTGCAACAATCTACAAGAACCACATTCTCTATAGTAATTTATGGCATATATATCATGTAATAAGTGACCATTTATCAAGAATCTATATTTTATACCGATTAATTCTTTAGTGGCCATACTTTTATATAGAAAATATGAAAGATTTGCCATCTTAGGATCGTAATATATGGAAAATTATCTGATTTTTATTGGTAAAAGAGGTTTATCTTATAATACTGTATCCGTTTCTTATAAATGAGATATGTATTCCCAGATATTTTGTATTTTATACAGATTAATTCTTTAGCGGCTATACTTTTATATAGAAAATATGTATAATTTATTATCTTAGGATCATAATATATGCGAAATGATCTCATTTCCAGTGGTAAAAGAGGTTTAACTATAATACTGAATGTAATTAGTATCTGTTTCTAATAAATGAGATATGAACTCCCAGATAATTTTACTTTAGCTAGGAACTTGATAAATAAAAAAATATTTCTTGCATAGAAACCAACAGATAAGCAAATGTCGTTCGCAACTAATACCATTTCCCCAGAATATGATAATGCTCTGCTTGGTTTCAAAACTATAATTTGAATATTAATTCTAATTTATGTTATTAATTTTCAATTCTCAGGGCGGCAGACTGGAACCTGAAGGAGCCCACCTGGACGGGCAGGATGCGACTGGTGGCCAAGGGCACCGCCGTCGTCCTCAAGCTGGAGGACAAGACCAGTGGCGCCCTGTTCGCCAACTGCCCCATCGACACATATCCCGGCGTGGCCATCGAGGCGGTTTCCGACAGCTCCCGGTACTTTGTCATCCGGGTGCAGGACGACAACGGGCGGTCGGCGTTCCTCGGCCTCGGATTCGGGGATCGGTCCGACTCCTTCGATCTGAATGTGGCGCTGCAGGATCACTTCAAGTGGGTGAAGAACCAGGAGCAGATCGAAAAGGAGAAGACGGAGCCCAAGCAGGAGCTGGATTTGGGATTCAAGGAGGGCGAGACCATCAAGATCAACATGAGGATAACGGTGGGTTCAGCTAACAGATCTCTAAAAATACAAAATATAAGATAAGATGTATCATATATCATATGCAATCTTTCGTTTTTAAAAGCCATCTGGCTGAAGATGTGCGCATTCCATTTTATTTTCTGTTGAATCAGCTTATCTCAACGGCTGCAATTGGATCATTGTTATGATAGGAATGTGATTCTGGTCTTTAAATATATATTTTTCAAACCTAAAAAAAATTTAAAAATAATATAATAGTAATTAGAAATCTATAAAATATTTGATGTTAGTAATTAAGGAAGTAAGCGAGGAAAAATGTGAAAATATCTTAAAAATGATAATTAGTTAAAAGTATCAACTATATTAAATATATTAAATTAATCTTTTTTATTCCAGAAAAAGGATGGCTCCGAGGGATCCTCGCGCACTGGCAAGAACAAGGGCTCCTCGGGCGTCCTGCCACCGCCGCCTGGGGGCCTCGGCAAGATCGCTCCACCACCGGCCGCCGCCGCAGCCACGACGGTGCGGCAAAGTCCCGGCGTCTCGCCCGCCCACAGACCCGCCGCTGGAGGATCCGAGTGGACCGACTATGCATCCGCCGGGTGAGTTCAGCCTACGCAATTAACGCCTCTTCTGTACCGCGAATTCTTCAGATCATTAGAACAAAGTTTTAAATACTCCTCTTTTCAGTGGAAACCAAGGACAACAGAACTCGGCCAATGCCAACTGGGTGCAGTTCTAAGTAAACATCCTCCTGTTCCTGCTGCTGCTGCGCTTCTACGCCCCCCCCAGAACCCTATGTTTTAAGACTCTTCAGATGTTTTTTTATATCCACAATTTGCCAGCATATTATTTTCGTTTTGAATACGACCAAAAGATTGAACAGAACATTCAGCAAAGGCGTCACGCGTTAAAGTTAAAGTTTTTTAATTAAATTGAAATTGTGTATTAGTTTCCCCGTCCATACTTGCCTCTCGCTCTAATTGGTAAAGAGAAAGAGATAGAATGAGAGAGGGAGAGTTCTCAGTGGGCGGGGATTTGTAGCGAACTATTTAGCCTGGTTGTTAATTGTATAAATGAAGATAACGATAATTTGTATGGGAATTATTCTAAAATGTAATTTGTTAAAGTCGAGATAATGCGAGTAAAGAAGCGAATTAAGTTTAAATCAAGTTATACACGAACACGAACACTGCAAAAACTAAACTAAAGTGAAATATTCAAGTCTTGAGTACTTACACACGAACATACACACGCACGTGAAAGGACATTCCGCAGATGAGAGATAGGACGCATTACATACCAATCTAATTTATTGTTAACTCTCCTCCAAATTCCCCCCTGATCAACTTGTTTCGCACCTACCTAATATGGAATACGAGAAATTACACAGATCTATCATCCTGTTCCCCTTTTCGCCTTCGATCGAATGACGTGAGATCGAAATTGATTCAACCAAGAATAGAGAACATAAATCGATATGCCATAGATCGAGATTTCTTTGCACGCCTCTTTTGCCAATTCAAATGTATCGAAGGATAAACCTAAATCTTGGTCATTTCGATTCCACAAAACTCGAGAGAATAGCAATTCGGGAACATGGAGCATATATTTTTTTTCTGTTTTAAAGTGGCACACACATGCATAGCAATTAAGTAAATCAAATGAATTATATATATAATATACAATATGAAGAAATATCCATATGTATTTAATAAACCACATAATTGTAGAGAAGGAAATCTTGCTAACTCTGAATTGTTGTTTGAGCCCCGAGAAATCGATTCCCCACCACCCCAAATCAATATCCCACAACTATGCTAGACGAAACCCTGTGTTCCGGTCTCTTGTTTCTGTTGCTGTTGAAAGATTATCTAATATCAAAAAAAAAACTGAAAAAAAAATAAGCGAGTTCTATTTGTTCCATAAATGTTTACAATAAGAGCTGCATCTGGCACACATTTACATCGCTTTACCCGCTATAAACCTATGTGAAACCCTGTTCTTTGGAGACAGCGGGTTTCGCAATATTTCATTGGGTTTTTACTATTTTTTCGGGGTTATTTTTACCTTTATTTAATGGACAAAATACTTTAAACTTTTGTTTTTGCATTAGGGAAACATCCTAAAACCCATTATAAATATATCTCGTTGCAAGCTTTTGAGATCTGAACTCTTCAGAATTTATACGAATACTTTCGGTTTTAACCATTCGATATCATCAATACCATTCTATCATATTTTGGACCCTCGTTTGTGAAACACGCTGTTTTCATTGATTTGCGTTTTCGGTGGAGTTTGAGAATCCCAGAGCTGCTAAACAGGACTTCTTTCGATGCGGCTCCCGTTTTACTTTCGTAGCTCACTTGAGATAACCTTCGAAACAAACATATTCGCCAGCTTTGAGCAGTCAACAAAATCAACAAACGAAACATAAATTACATGGAAATAAAATTATATATACATATATATATACACACAAGATATATACAAAATGTAATTAATATTAATGAAATACGAAATAAAAATAGCAATGAATTTCAATGTGAAATTGCAGAGGCTATTTATTTCATTGGAAAAATAGGATTGGACGTTGAAAAACTATAAAGGATTAGAAATTCTTACAGGGACCCAAAATAAATAAAAACCACATTTAATTTGATTTTTCTGTTTTTTCATACGTTTTTATTTAACTTACAATTTTGTTTTCGGGTTTCTTGTAGGTTGTTTTTTAATGATGTTCTTTTTTTTTAGCTTTTATGGATTTTTTTTAAATAATTCTTTAGGTTTTAGTACATATAATTACAACGCATTATTTTCATAGGACTTCGATTTCCGACTCTCCTCGACTGCCGCTTGACTTCGCGCCGATGCACAATTAATTTAGCCAGCTTCCTCTTTTCTTCTACACTTTGCTTTAGATTGTTCATTATTCCATATGCCAAACTACGTGGATCAATATTACATCATCGTGCGCTATTCATATACATAGCTATATATAAATAGATGTTGTATATATATAGTATAACCTGGCTAGCTTGAAGTTACAATCACCACAGATTGTTTATCATAGTTTTCGTTCGGGTTTTACGGACCTCTAAAACTCGATGAAACTATTGGCATTGCTCGACTTTTTCCCGAATATTTCGATCTTTTGGGGAACAACTATTTTTCAGATCAATACCAGTAGTTTGATCTAAGTTTTATATTTCCGCTTCATCCTCCCGTTTTCAGTTATGGGTATAATTTCATTGTTTTTAGTTTAGATTTTGTAAGGTGGAATTTAGTTTTCTGTTTCGGGGGGGGAAGACACCACATACACATAGCATCTTGAGCTGCATTGGGATTCGAAAATTGGGTTTGGATTGGGGTTAGGGTTCGGGTGAAATGAGGCGGGATAGGCGGCTTTAAGTAGCATATACAAATAGTATATATATGTAACATTATATTTCTGTCTCGGTTTCCTTGTGGTGTCTCTTAGTTTTGTTATTTACACAGCTTCATTTGTGGTTTGCTTGACGCAAAAAAAAGGGGTTATACATTTTACAATACCATTCACTATTACTGCTTCGCTTAATCATAGTTCAGACGCACAGCTGGCATATAACAGATATCGTACTCCTACTTCTCCTAAACTCTTCTCTTCACTCCGTTTGCTGTAATGCATGATGACAATGATCAACAGTTTGTGTAGTAATGCCCAATATGCGGCACTATCTTCATCAACATAAACATCTTCTGCTGTCATTACTATCAGCATGACTTTTTTCTTAAGTGCTATTAACTAAAACATAACTTAATCTTAATTATGTGTGATTTTTGTGTGTTTTACGTACATTTGCTGTATGTATGTTCAGGGAGTGGGGGGAAAAAGGGTCTCTTTTATAAAAAAAAAAAATATATGGTTGGTAGAGGCAACTATCAAACCGCTAAACTAAACATAAATTTACATTTTATGTTTTTCATCGGCCGTTCTCATGCAATTTCCGCGCAGTGTTTTTATTTTTCGATTCCAGAAGGTGAAGTGGGTTGGTGTCTCGATGACCGGGAGCTTGGCTTTGGGTTTTAGTTGTGGTGCTGGATTACATGAAGCGCTGGCGTTTACTGCTGTAGTGGCAAATGTCCATTTTGTCGTCGATCGGACTGCCGGGACGCTTGCAATGGCGCGCTATTTCGTTGGCAACAAATGCAAATAGTTCGGGGCCACTGGAAAATATTAAAAAGATTTATTAGTTTAGTCAGTTTTGGATTGTAAACTTTGCTATATTGCTATTCAGTTTCCTATTCTACTTTGTTTTATCCATATATGTAAACTTTTGGAAAGATCACTGAAACCCGTTCTCAATGCAATTGCCAAAAAAGGCAATCTCATGTTTCCTGATTCATTCAAGTCGGTTACACAAATCTAGTTCTCCCTGGAATCATCTTGCAAGTAGGATTTTCGGCAGTGCCTTCAACTAACCGTGGACGCAGAACCAAGGCCTCCTTAAAGGTGTGCAAATCATCGCCGATTCCGCCGCCCGGGGCACCGACCGTTCCCTCCTGACGGCCACCGCCTGCTCCGGCGGACAGCAGATGCCCGCCGCCGCCGGCTGCTGTGGGCGGACCATGGGACAGGCCCAGTCCGGAGCTGTGGAATCCCAGGCCAGAGCCACCGCTGCCGCTCTGGTGATGATGCTCCGGCTTCGGCGAGCTGCAAGAAACATAGAGGGTTAATCGGTTTTGTTTTGAGGACAATTTTCAACGGCGACTCACCGACGATTGGCATGTGGATTGGAGTTGGATGGCGGTAGGGGCTTTCCGGCCAAGTAGGCCAACAGATCCTCGCGCCTTATCATCCGGCGTTTTTTGCTGCGCGCCCAATCGGCCAATTCGCGAGTGCGTCTTTGGTAGCCGCACTGAATGGCAGCGTCGCTGGTGCGTTTGAGACCATCACATGATTCTGGACGGGGATCGGAGGAGAAGAATTAGTTGGGCATTCGATGGTTAAGTGTACGATTCAAACCCACCTTTGTAGAGTGTTGTCACAGTGCCAGCTGCGGTCTGGAAGGGCAGCCAAAGGGCGCCTGTGTCTGAGGAAAATGTGTTCGATGAGCGCTCTGAAAGAAATAAGGAGATGTTAAAATCCAGATGGAGATACATTTTTAAATAAAGGGATTTCTAGAAAATCTCGCATATAATGGTATCTTTAGATGATATTATACATATTACAGGCCTAAGGATATTGTAAAAAAAAATCTAACCGGTCCTTAAACTATCTTCTGATCTTTAACGGAACTGCTAGATCATTTATTGAACATGGTTTTTAATATAAAATTGTAGAATTTGTTTTTTAATATAATTATTGTCCTAGAATTTATAATATCCGAATTTATGGATTAGATTAAGAAGGAAATTGTGGAAATATATGTATATGTATATGAAATGTATATAATAAACTACTTCAGATCCCTTACAAAACAAATAATCAAATATACTATACATATAAGATACTATATAAAATGAAATGAATATTACAATATTTTGTGAAATATTTATTTCCATATTTACAATGGAATTTCTTTGAAATGAACAAGGTCAGTATTGAAAGATATGTAGAATAGGTGGAATGAAAGAATGGCCGACTTGAGATCCTTGCAAAAACAATTTCTAGGTGGAAGGCGAACAATGAAAACAAACATGTCCGACTTGTCGATCGGTCTTCCCCCTGCCGCTCTCTCTCTCTCTCTCGCTCACCTTTGACCCCTGCTCCTAGCACACCTGCTGCACGAAAGGATGTAAAAGGACGAGAGAGAGAGACAGGGACAGGGTGGAAGAGAGAGGACGAGAGGAGCCGTTATCGACCGGAGGAAGAGGAAGAAGGCGGTGCAAGAGGGATGGCACTAGGTTCTCGAAATATGTAATTTGCAATGAAATAAAAAAAAACGCAGTGGGAAAGCTGAGAGCGAGAGAGATTAATCTTTCACTTCCGAGTAATTCCCCTTCCGTTTTCTCATTTCGCAAGCCGAAAACAATGACGAAAGCAAAACAGCTGTTCGACCCTCACACACACACACGCACAGCCAGTCAGATGAGCCTGCACTCACATGTTGATTAATGATATCAACAACAACAACAACAAAAGGGGCCCCAGCAGCAACAACAAATAGGAGGAACGAAAAATTCTATTCTTCGAGGCGACGCCTCTGCCCTTTTCATCCTCCGCCTCTCCCTATTCCTATTCCACTGCCAGTGCACTTGCCTCTCGCCATCTCACTTTTCTAGTCCTCTCTCTCGTTTTCTTTTGCTCCCTGTTCTATTGCAGCTCCCCCTCCGCCGCCAACAACAATAATAACAACAACAACACTGTAGCCCTTTCTGCATTTTGATAATGCGTAGTATGAGGAGCGAACGAGAGGGGGGAGTTGCATTTTCATGAAAGCCGGGCTGCTGCCTCCGCCTCTTCTTCTTGCTGTTCTATTAATACCTCGCCCAAAACTATTTTTGAAGAGAGACTGCACACACACACACACGCACACACAAACAAACAACACACACAGATAGACAGACAGAATGGAAACACAAAGAACAGTAACAAAAGGGGGAAAAAAATGTTGAAGCTTGGAAGCCGAAGCCGAAGCCAAAGCCTACGCCCTTGGAAGGGATAACGGGACAACGGGATCTCTAGCCCCACCCCCTCACCTCTGTACAGCTGGGCAACGGCGGTGGCCGAATCCTGGAATGCTCCCCACACGGTGCTCAGATTGTTGTCCCGCTGACGCACGTACTCCCGTTCGAATTCGTCGTGCTGACCGTGGATTTCGCGGTGACACTGCTCCTCCAGCCAGCTCTCCTCGCCGCCCGACTCCGGTTGTTGTTGCATTTCTCTCTGCGTCTCGCTCTCTCTCTCTCGCTTGCGGGTCGGGTGCTCCAAGTTACGGTTCCTTTCCCGTTCCGGCGAATGCCTGGACTACTTCTCTTCTTCTTCCGCTGCTCCTTTTCTGCTGCCCGTTCTTCTTCTTCTGGTGCTGCTGCTGCTGCTGCTACGACGACACACGCACACACACACTGGCACACACGCGAAACGAAACGCACCAACACACTCGCACGCACTTTGGACCAACTCTGGGTTTTGATTTTGGATTTGACCAGGAAATCGGCTGGCTATCCACCGTTTTGACCGTCCTCGCAAGCCGAATGCTCCTCTGGCCGCCCGGTTGTAGGTGATTTAAATTTATTTGTTGTACGAACGACGAGCGAGCAGCACTTTTATGTTGTAAACCAGCACAAAAAAGAACTCACACTCAGCGACGGCGTTGCCAGACGGGCAAGAACTGTCAAACGAACGCTGCTGGCACTGCATTCTAGTTCGATTTTCGGAAACGAGTTCTGAGCCGGCGAACCAGTGGGAAATCGGGGTTCTTAAAAATAAAGATGGAGGCCCAGTAGCATTAGTAGGTAGAGCAAAAAAAGAGAAATTAATTTATACTAGTATCAAAATGGGAAACTATTTAATTTCCAAACTTTCCACGTTCCAAAGAGACCACAATTAAAATAGCATTGTAACTTTGAAAGTCTTCTAAATTTGAATGTTAATTTTTAACACTTTTTATTTAATTTGAGTCCTTTTTTATTTTAACAGTACTGTAAAATATTTGTTATATATTCCAAGATAATCTGGCCAGCTGGTTCGTTTTTAATTTGAGAACCAGTGAAAATTATTCTTTTATAGGTAGCCATTTGATGAACCTAGTATACATATGAACTCCCATATAGATTAATAATACTGTTTATAAACTATATTCGATAAAATTACTTTTATTTATCTGGCTTGGAAGGCTATTAAATATAAAAGTTAAACCTGAAATATTGGCGTATAAAAATCGAAAACTCAAGTTCCGTTTGCTCAAGCTAATAATAATTAAAAAATAATAAAATTGCCTAATTTATTACGCACTTGAGTAGTTCCAGTTCCGCGGTGACTGGTTCCGGAGCAGCTAACTTTTCGAACGAGGTGGCAAGGCCGCAGCAGTTGTCTGCACGTTTTTAAAAGCCGGCCAAAAATCGCCAACGACTCGAAACCGAAATCCAAAACAAAGATGTTTATGAACTCCAATCTCTTCGAGCCGGGCAAATCGAAGCCGGAGCGTAACTTCGTCCAGCTGGCGGCGAAGCAGAGCCAGCGCTTCGACGGCCGGCGGCCCAACGAGTGCCGCGACGTGGAGCTGACCTTCGGCGCGGATTGGGGCACCGTGGCCGTTTCCCTGGGCGCCACAAAGGTGCTGACCCACGTGACCTGCGACCTGGGCGCACCGACCACCTCGCGTCCCAACGAGGGCAAGCTCCAGCTGAACGTGAACCTCGGAGGGGTGGCCTTTCTGGACGAGCTACAGACGACACATGACCAGCGATCCCTGACCCTCAATTCGCTGCTGGAGCGCACATTCCGCAGCTCCAGGTGCGTCGACCTGGAGTCCCTGTGCGTGGCCGCCGAGCAGCATGTGTGGTGCATCCGCGTGGACATCAGTGTGCTCAATCACGACGGCAATCTGTATGGTAAGGCAACTAACTCAAAGTTACTCTTAAATCCCAATAAATCTTGTATTTCCCTTAGATGCCAGCACCATAGCCACTTTGGCCGCCCTGATGCACTTCCGCCGGCCGGATGTCACCTTTGCCGACGACGAGCTGCGGATTTACACGGAAAAGGAGCGCGAGTTTATCCCTTTGTTGTTTCTCCACTATCCCGTGAGCGTCGCCTATTGCATCTACAAGAGCAGCGGCCAGCCCATTGTGGATCCCACGCTGCTGGAGGAGAACGCCGCCGATTCGGTGATTGTCCTGAGCTTTAACTCCTACCAGGAGCTCTGCACCTTGAATGCTGGAGGCACTGCACCCACAAACGTGCGAACCATCATGCAATGTGCCCGCAATGCTGCGACTAGGGCCAAATCCCTGGTGGATTACATACGCAAGGCCCTGTCGCTGGACGAAGAGCGGCGGCAGCAGGGCGGAAGGCGGTTCCAGGGACTGGTGGCTCTCATAGGCGAGAATCAGCACAAGCTGAGCTTCAACCAGCTGATGGGGCAGCAAAGGCAGGAAGTGCCAGCTACTGCAAGTGAGAAAATGGAGGTGGATGTAAGCATAACTAAGCCGGAGATCGAGGAGATTCAGCCGGAGGCCAAACAGGAGACAGGAGACGCACCCATGGACTCGAGCAGCTGGCTGCCCCAGGATGAGGACTCCCAGGAGCTGCCCACGCCCTCGGAGGCATCGGCATCGAAGGGCGCCAAGGGCAAACAGAATCGCAGCAAGAGCAAGGCCAACAAAAAGCAATTGGCCAAGAAACCAAGTAGGCTAAAAGCAAATAAACCGCATAAACCATTTGATTTCACCACCAAAAATCTCTTTTTCAGATCACAGCGACTCCGAGGAGGAGGCCAAGCCAGTCATCTAGCCGATATGTATACAAAAGTAGTCATGTAGTTAAGTGAAAATGCTTTCTATTAAGTTTTATTTAGGCTTAAATGTATGGCTAAAATCAGTCTAGGCTTTAACAGAAATCGTTTAATGCGCAACCGATGCGATGTTCGTCTTAGTTAGGCTTAAACTAGAGCTCTAAATATATGTTACCAGCCCGTCGGGGCAAACGAGACGATGTTTAAGTTTAAATATTGCATTTCTTGTAGTCTAATTGTGCTTCAATTCGATTCGATTCGTTCAAGGTTTATTGGTGTTCTGTTCTCTGTTGTTTCTCTGTTTTCTAGCCATCCCCGCTTAACTTGATTTATAATACAAACGATTAAAGCCTAAGGATACGAATTGCTACTTGATTGAGTGTTCTCTGCGTGTGTTCTCTGTTAATTCTCTTGTAAATTTACATAGTTTATTTAATGTAATGTGTGTAATGTGTGTGTGTATAAAGAGCTATTAACAACGGACCAAGGCTACAATTAGTTTTGTAAATTTCTTTCATGCTTATGTTAGATTAAGTTTACGTTTCATCGCGCTATACTATTTTTTGGGAGCACCAGTTGCCTTTTTCCCCACGTTCTTCATTGTTTGTGTTCCGGGCGGTCGTTCCGGGAGGAAAGGAGTTCGGGCAGTGGTGTAGGTATGGAAACTTGGGTTTTGGGGGTGCACAGATGAGAGGGACATTTCGCTATCAGTATTTCCGTATTTTCGTAAACAATGCCGACGTCCAGCAAATGCAGCAACAATGTGAAAAGGGTTTATCGGCGGTTTGGTTTGGCCAGCGTTAGAAGGAGTAGACGTCGTCGGCGTCCTCCTCCTCCCTCCGCCCGCCGACGCGCCTTCAGGTGGTGTCGTTGCCAAGGCCGTTCTTCTGGTCCAGCTTGTTCGAGCCCATCTTCACCATGTAGACGAAGAACGTGATGATCTCCTTCTCCTTGATGGGTATTGTCTTGAAGTGCTTCATGATGGTCTAAAGGGAAGAAGGGGTTGCGAGGTTAATAAAAGGGAAGTAATGATCTTCAAAACTACTTCTTAGGATACTAAACACACTTGTTCAATAAAAGGAGCTTCAAAACAACCTACTAAAGTGATTATAAGATCGAATCAACAGCTCTAATCTAGGGTTCCCAGTAATTAGACATGGTTTCTTTGGACTGAAGTCACTAAATGGAAGAATAATCCTAGGTTTATAATAACTTTCCTTTGTTCCTAGTGATTCCACCTGGTTTCTGCCCACTTAAGTCACTAAATGGAAGGGGGAATCACTTGGTAAACAAAAGGAGGCCAAGGATAACCTACTAAAGTGATTATTAGATCGAATCCCAGTGATTCCACATGGTTTTTTCGGACTTAAGTTACTAAACCAGAGGGAAATCTTATCTGCTCCACTGACCCCCGTGACTCCTAGTGATTCCACATGGTTTCTGCCCACTCAAGTCACCAAATCAAAGGGTAATCCTTGGCTTCCAAGCTATAAAATACTCACATCCGCCAGCTGCGCCCGCTTCATGCCCTGCCGCGTCTGCACCTTGAAGTGACGCTTGTAGCGGCGCAGCGTGCTCACGCCCAGCTGGTAGAGATCGGGGAACTCGTGCAGGTCCGTGTCCGTCTCGTTGCTGTCGTCCTCGCTGTCCTTGCGACGCCGCTTGGTGCGCACCGACTGGATGCGCTCCTTGTGGTGGTCGCAGATGTAGATGTGCTGCGCCGCCGGGTCGCTGCTCAGCTTGAGGCGCTTCTGGGCCACCGTCTTCTGGATGCGCTTCGAGTAGCTGGCGTAGCCGGCTTGGTTGCGACACCGCTCCATGTCGTCGATCAGGCAGCAGGTTTGGTCCGTGTGCCCGCGGCTGTCCTCCTCGCCGGTGCTAAATCCGTTGTTCATCCTGTCGGGGGGATCGCTCTGTCCAATCCAAAACGAGATTTGATTCAATCCAATCCTTTCCTGCTTTTTGCTGCCTCCTCTGTTTCTGTTTTTCTCCGTTTCTCTTATGTTTTTTTTCTTTTGCCTGGCAGTGTGACCAGAGCAGTAGCTAACAATTATACCAACAATTTAGCCGAGACAACCACCAAGGGCAGTGGCCGTTCTAAATCTGACCATCTGGCAACGCTGCTCGGAAATTATTTAACTCTTCCGATTTAGTGTGACCAGAGTAGTAGCTAACAATTATACCAACAATTTAGCCAAGACAACCACCTGGGGATTAGCCAATTTAAATCTGACCATCTGGCAACGCTTACTTCCCCGATTTAGTGTGACCAGAGATACCAACAATTTAGCCGGGACAACCACCAGGGGCAGTGGCCATTTAAAAAATCGTATTCCACCATCTGGCAACGCTGCTGGGAAATTCTTTAGTTTAGTTTCCCCCGATTTCGGCCGCCCACCGCCCACTGCCACCCCCCTAATTCGCCGGAAAAGCGGAAAACCGGAGGAGATGGCCCTGCCCTCGATCTCGACGCTGCTGGGCGTGGCCTTCCTGGCCTACATCAGCCACTCGATCTACCAGATGTCGCAGCTCTTCACCACGCTGCAGTGCAGCGGTACTCCCTGCTACCAATCCTTCCTGGCCGACCGGCCGCGCCTCCAGCTGGCGCTCTTCTCCTCCCTCAGCCGCAGCCCGATTGCCTCCGAGGTGCGGGATCTCTACAAGGCCAAGAGCTTCGACTACCACCAGGGCTTCGAGCACGACTTCCAGTTGGATGTGCCGCTCAAGACGCGGCGCAATGGCTCGCTGTACTTCCATGTGGTGGTGGCCCTGGAGGGCGAGCCTTTGGAGTGGCGCAGCCTGCGCCGCGATGGACCCACCGTTGTGCACACAATGAGTCTCACGGACTACATGGTTCCGCGGGCGGAGGCGTTTAATCTCCTCGGGGATTCGGATAAAGGAGCTGCTGCAGCTGCTCCTGCTGTCCAGAAGAAGGGAGGAGCCCCCTCGGGACGTCCCAGCACCCACATCCGCTCGAATATCTACGTAACCCTGCTCACCGATCTCTTTTCCGTCTCGCAAGCGGATGTTCCGCCGGAAATGGCGCCACTGATCCGGGTCAACCGCATGCAGCAGATCCTGCCCATCCTGCAGACGGACACCTTCAACACGCGGCTCAAGGACCTCGTCCAGGTGACCCGCAACACCACCGAGTTCACCTTCAGCTTCCACTACAAACCGGTCGGCGTGGGCAAGCTGCGGCTGATGCTGCTCATGGAGCACGCCACCCAGGCGCTGCTCACCATTGGCTTCGCCACCAAGGACATTGACGAGGTGAAGGGCATCTTCTCGGACACCAATGTCTACCTGCTGTGCGGCACCATCTTCGTCTCGAGTATCCATGTGAGTGGGTTAATAATATATCAGGGATTAGCAACTAATGAGTAACTTACAGATGCTCTTCGACTTCCTGAGCTTCAAGAATGACGTGGCCTTCTGGCGGCGCAAGCAGTCGTACGAGGGCCTCTCCAGCCGCACCACCATGTGGCGGGCCTTCTCGCAGATCGTCATCTTCCTGTACCTCCTCGACGAGAACACCTCGTATCTGGTGCTAGTGCCCGTGGGCCTGGGCGCGCTGATTGAGCTGTGGAAGTGCAAGAAGATCCTGCGCCTGGAGCTCAGCTTCAGTGGGATGATTCGTCGCAAGTTGGAGCAGGCGGATCGCCGGCAGACGGCGGCGGAGGAGGAGGAGCAGAAGACGGATCAGTTCGATCGGCAGGGCATGCGGTATCTTAGCTATCTCCTGTATCCACTTTGCCTGGGCGGAGCGGTCTACTCGCTGCTGTATCAACCGCATCGATCCTGGTACTCGTGGACCCTCAACTCGCTGGTCAATGGCGTCTACGCCTTTGGGTTCCTCTTCATGCTGCCGCAGCTGTTTGTTAACTACAAACTCAAATCGGTGGCCGCGCTGCCTTGGCGCGCCTTCATGTACAAGGCATTTAATACGTTCATCGACGACTTCTTCGCCTTCATCATCACCATGCCGACGGCCCATCGGGTGGCCTGTCTGCGCGACGACATTGTGTTTATTATTTACCTGTACCAGCGGTGGCTTTACCCAGTGGATAAGAGTCGTCTGGATACGGGGATGGCCATTGGCGAGGCCCCGGAGAGCTCTTCCAGCTCCTCCAACTCCACGGCGGCCACGCGCAAGAAGCGCAATTGATTTTGAGCAATGCAATATTGCACATTCCATTCAATCCGACTCCGTCTTTAGTTCAGTAGTGATATTAACCCCATGTCGTAGACTTAAATGGTTACCCAATAGCCGAAATATAGTGGAACCCAGCCGACAAATGCATTTTATAGGATTTTAAAACTATAGTCTCCTATTTAAACAGTGTAAATTAGAAAACTACTTGTAAAGACTGGTTAATTGGTCAATTTAAAGTACTAACCCTGTATCCCAACGTAGATGAAAGCGAGTTCTAGCAACCGAATCAGTTAACAGCAAGAAAAGAAGCAGAAAATCACATTTTATATGACTGCCTACAAATAGAACTGAATAAAATCACATATTTTAGAAAATGCAAACAAATCTAGTTTGTAATTTTGCTTTTTATATGCGTATGCCACTTTATTAGCCTACTGTTAAGTCCAATATTTGTGCTGGATGCGTGTGTATTTCTTGGGGACGACGAAAAAAGGGATGTATTTTAAGCTTAAACTAAACTGGCGAAGGAAAAAGAGTTTGCCGCTTCCACGAGTTGACTGCTGGCTCCTTCTAGCCGTTGCGGATGCCCAGCGCCTGCTCCAGCTCGGCCCGCTTCTGGTTGACCTTGGTGAAGAAGTAGCGCGAAACGGCCTCGTGCGTCCACGGCTGGTAGTAGAACTCGGCGCGGCGCTCCTCCTCCGGATTGCCCACCACATCGGTCATGAGCTAAAAGGATAGTTATCGTTAGTAGATAGTTAAGATCAAAGATCACTCGACCCACCTTCAAATCCCTCGTCTGACTGATGATCCAGCGGTGGATAAACATCTGCGGATCCTTGGCGAAGCTCAGGAAGAACTCCCTGTTCGTCTTCATCTGGTTAATGGTGTCCACCGTCTCGTGGATCTTCGTGTCCAGCCCCTGGATCTCCTGCTGGCTGGCGGTGCTCATCAGGAAGCTGTTCATCTGGTTCTTGAGCGTGTCATCGACCTCCACATCGATGTCATAGCAGGCGGTCTGCTTGTTCTCCGCACCGCTCTCGATAAAGTGATTGATTACAATCGGATCTGGCGGATGGAGCAGCGGATTGAGGCGTTGCGGTATCTCGGCGAACTTCATGCGCTGGCAGCTGAATATCTGCTCCAGATACTTGTCGCAATTGATGTACTCCCGCTCGTGGGCATCCTGCAGCTTGTGCGTCTTGATGTACTGCCACAGGGCGGAGATAATCACCGGCCGCGTCTGCGTGTGCACGCCCAGCAGGCGCGCTAGGCGCGGATCCAGCTTGAACTGCAGCGGCTGGTAGTCGAGCAGCAGGAGGATGGTGCAGCGCACATTGCGGTCGCCCGGCCGCTTCACCTGGAACCCGTCCGTCTCCTGGGTGGTGTGGGTGCGATGCCACTCGACCAGATGGTTGTCCGGCCCGTACAGCTCCTTGTCCAGCTCGATGACCAGCGACTTGAAGAACGACGAGAACTTGCGCTTGATCTTTGTATTGGGATCGCCCTTCCCATCCTCCAGGAGCCGTCCCTCCACGCGCAGCTCCCACGAGGCGACGGCGCCCTCCTCGCCATCGTTGGTCGGCTCCTTGCTGGGATAGAATGTGTTCGAGATGAAGATGCGCAGCTTGCGCTTCTGCTTCATCGGTCGCTTGAGCGCCTCCTGGATGTCCAGGCGCTTGCGCATGATGGTGGCGTCCAGCTTCCGCTCGAACGTCAGCAGATCCATGTACGCCTGCGACTCGGGCACCAGATCGCGCACCTTCTGCGGCAGTATCTTGTCCGCCAGCTTCTTTTTCTTCTTGGCGCTCACGAAGTCGCCCTTCCCGCCGCCGCCGCCGCCTCCACCGCCGCCGCCGCCCAGGCTGCGCGACTCGTTGGACCGCTTGCTGCCTCCGCCGGAGCCCACGCCACCGCCGGCGGCGCCCGTGCCGCGCAGGCCGCTCTGGAAGGCCGGCTGCTGGGCGGCGCGCTGCAGAAGCGAAGGCCCCGGAACGCCGGGCACACCGGGAACTCCGCCCGGCACTCCGGCCACGTTCGCTGTGCCCGGCACCGGTTGCGTGGTGTTCGGGTGCAGGGGAAAACCACGGGGCTATATGGGGAGGAAAATCCAGGATCATTTAGAGATCAGGAAAAGCGAAATTACGGGAAAAACTCACCGGAAAAGTGGCGCCTGGCGGCGGATAGGGACGCATGCCGGGCGCCGGCGGCGGTGGCTGGTAGCGCGATTGCACCGGCGCTTGGCCAGGTGCGAAGCGTTGCGACATCTTCTCTAGTCGCTCCTTTCGCTTTTCCGCCCTTTAACACTCGCGGAAAATGGATTTTCAGCGCTTTTTGTTTCAATACAACAACGCGTCACACACACAATTTCGCCTGTAAAATGGCGTCAAAACAGGGCTGCACTAGCGCTAGAGGTGGGCGGGTAAGCGATAGTTCGAGCAACGTCTGGCAGGGCTGCATTAACTTTTTTTATTTTGTTTATTGTGTAGTAACAAGCTAACTAATTAACTATTGTAAAAAATAAAATATTAAGTTGCCAAGCTATTAAAGCAACGCAAAATTTCTATTAAATCATACAACATATTTGAACTGTTTTAAAAGTAGTTCCAAAAACACAATTTCCTGAAGAAATAAACATGAACTCGTTCCTGGTAAAAGGTAAAAGTAAGCAAGTGGATTGTTCTATACACTAAAAATAAATTAAAGTAATTAAATATTTTTAAAGTAGTACTATCGATAAGACCGAACGATTTGAAAACATCGATAGCACCGACATCAAAGTTCTCCCACCTCTAACACAGCCCAAAACACAATTGTCATTTTCAAACCGAGTTTGCTGAAAAGAGTTTTTGCACAATTTAAAACAAATATTTAAAAAACAAGGTATCAAAGGGATTCCACGTTCAGCCGCCAGACGAGAAGGTTGTACGGTACTACTGTCATTGGAAGCCATTTTTGCCGCCAAAACCCCGATCGTGTAAAATTTCTCAGAACTTCTGGGATTCCCGGAAACAACAGTTTTCGTGGAAAGTCCAAAAATGAGTTCAAACGGAAAGGGAAAGCTGCCACCGAGTGGTACGATCCCGAAACCAAAAACTTACGCAGCATCAACTATCTCGACAAGAAGCAAAGGAATAAAAGAACAGAAAATAAAGGAGGAGAAGAAGAAGGAAACACCCAAACAACCAACCAACGGTAAAATGCAAGTGAAACCGAATCAAAAGACTGTGAGTGAAAAGAATTTTAATAATAATACGCAAAATAAATATGATTGTGAAGATAAGGGACCTTTCATTGTCTGCATAGACAAATTAAGCGATTCAGCCGAAAGAAAGGCTATAAACCAATTCCAGCTATCTGCTTGCCTAAGCAAGCTGAATTTTGGCGGGATAGAGGAGGTCGCCAAGGTTGGCTATGGACGATGCAAAGTCAAGTGCAGCTCGGCTGATAGGGCAAATGAGTTGGCCAACAACGCCAATTTAGCTAAGGAAGGATATATCGCCTTAATTTTTAAACACTTCATTAGTAAAGCAGGCATCATATTTAACGTCCCTATGCACCTTTCGATAGAAGAAATAACACATAACATAAAATCAGACATTCCCATTGTGGATATAAACAGAGTAATGAGAAAAGATAAAAATAACAAGAAGGAACTTGTTCCAACAGGAAGAGTAATAATTAATTTTAAAGGACAACTACTCCCAAAAGAGATTAAGTTTTTATATGCTAAGGTGGAAGTTCAGCCGTACATTTACTTTACACAATGTTACCGATGTTTTAGGTTTGGTCACACTGCCAAGCACTGCAAAGGTAAAAACAAGTGCTTTAATTGCGGGCTAGAACACGGAGTAGAAGTTATATGTTCCAAAATAGAATGCGCCAATTGCAAACAGGGACACGTAGCTACCTCCCACACATGTCCGGCCAGAAAAAAAGCGTATGCTATTCAAAAAACAAAGGTCTTGGAAAACTTAACCATCCAGGAGGTGCGCAAAAAGTATCCATCTCTATTCTCTAGGGAGGCTCCGGTGTTAGAGGACCATAGGTCCTTTCCCTCACCGTGTTGGGAAAGCCAACAAGCAAATAGTACACTTAACAGCTCAGCGGAATCAGCAAAATCGATTCATTCCATTAATTCATATGCCAACATAGCGAAGGGAAACAAAAGGCAGGGTAATAGCTCATATAATATCTCACAAACGCACCAGAATCTAGCCATAGACAAATTAAATACACTGGGGAAAAAAATCTCAGAATTCATTACCATTAACAACAATAATTCCACAACAAACGAGTCAATATTACACTTTCTAGGGGAGATTAGGGACTTTATAAACCAAAGTAACGCAGATATAGATGCACAACAGATTTCGAACACCATTGAATCTCTCTCTCAGCCGATACCATCACAATGAAAATTCTACAACTAAACATACAAAGCTTGAATAACTTAAACAACAAACATCTCTTAAGCATGCATCTCATAAACAACAATATCGACATAGCGGTTCTTTCTGAAATCTGGGTTAAGGATAACAGCGACTGCAGCATTCCAGAGTACCATTTTTTTGGAAAACCCAGGGAGGATGGCTATGGTGGAGTTGGTGTTTATATACGATGCAACATAAAGTTTAGAATTCTAAAATCTGTAGATAATATAGAAAATTTAGGAATACAGACACTAAATCTTAAGAAAAATATTAACATCTTTGGTTTATATATTCCCCCCTCAACCACAGTTCAAAATCTGAAACAGGGCATTAGAAATCTATTTAACTACGCTGCATCTCTAAATAACCCGACCATAATCGGTGGAGACTTTAACTCGAAATCAATAACATGGGGTAGCACAAGTAGCGATCAAAAGGGCCACACAGTCGAACGAGCTGCTCTAGACGCAGGCTTTGTATGCCTTAACGACGGCTCCCCAACTTTCTCAGTCAGCCCTGCACAATTCTCAGTCCTCGACCTCACGTTCTCTAACACGAGAGATCTTGACATTTCATGGAGTTCCTCCAGATGCAAAATTACCAACAGCAACCATTTTCCGATAGAAATTATTATTAACAACATAAGTACAAACACAAACTCATACAAAATACTAGACAATAAAGTGGCTATTGCCTTTGAAGGAGTTAACTTTACCAGCCTAGAAACTATTAACAATTCATTAGAAGCCATTACCAAGGCAAATACAATCAAAATCACTGAAAGAAACAAATACGAACCGAAAAAATGGTGGTGTCAAGAAGGGGAAAAGTTATATCGGCTTAGAAATGCTGCTAGGCAGAAGTTTTACCTTACCAAAAAATTCGAAGACGCCCGTAAAACACTAACTGCAGAAAAGACCCTCCAAGACTATATCCGAAACAAGAGAAGGTCTAACTTCCAAGCCTTTGTAGAGGAAATTTCAGAAAGTCCATCCATCTGGAAAAGTATCAAAAACTTGAAAAAATACAAGCAGATAAAACGAACGGGCAACTCATGGTCAGAAGAAGAAGATGAGCAATTCCTGCAAATTATCCAAGATACCCCGTCCACCAGAGAAGTTACAAGCGGTCCTATCAGGGATCCAGATACTTTGCAGCTCTATACTCGAAATTCCTTTGAAATCGCCGACTTTTCAGAATTTTTGGCCTCCAGAAAACCAGACTCTGCAAAAGGACTGGATAAAATTTCATATCGAATGATACAAGCACTATCTCAGGCAAAGAAAACGGAATTGTTCAATCTCTTAAATTCTATATGGCTTTCCGGCCAAATCCCAGAATGCTGGAGAGAAATAAAAGTAGTGCCAATCCCAAAGAGAAACTCAGACGCAACCAAATTAGCCAATTACAGACCTATATGTTTATTAAGCGTCCTATTCAAGGTATTAGAGGGGCTCATAAAACTTCAATTTGACCAACACATTTCGGCAAACAGGCTGCTACCTGATAGATCTTATGCTTTTCGAAAATACAGGTCCACAACACTATGCATAAATGACCTTATAAACAAAATACAATCTCTAAAGGCTGAGGGCTTTCAGGTGGTAGCAGCGTGCCTTGACCTCCAAAAGGCTTTTGACTGCGTGGATATAGGCATCCTGGAAAACAGACTCACAAGTCTCGGCTTCAACCTCCATCAAATCACTTGGGTAACTGACTTTCTTCGAAAGCGAATTTTGGTGAAGGGCGGATGTCGTCTGGAGCTCAACAGGGGGGTCTCTCAGGGTAGTTGCCTTAGCCCAACTCTTTTCAACCTGTACACGGCTGAACTGCACTCCCTGAACGACCAAAACTGTGAGCTGTTCCAGTATGCGGATGATTTCTTTCTGGTATGCTTTGATCCCACCTTCGCAGGAGCCAGAGATAAGCTGTTAGAAAAGATCTCAGAATTTGAAATTGAATGCAGTGACTTAAATCTATCCTTCAACCCTACCAAATCCAAGGTAATTCACTTTAATTTGCGTAGGCAACCGCTTGAAGTTCTGCACAATGGCACACCAATTAGGGACGTAGAACAGATTAAATATTTAGGAAGAATCGTAGCCGCAAATAACTCACCTTGCGCCCATATCGAGCGCGCGGTCTCTTCAGCAAACAAAACTTGTGCCTTCTTAAAGTTGCTCAGTGGTTGCACCTTTGGAATTAACCCTAGTAAAGGTCTTCTCTTACATAAAGCGTTTGTGAGAAGTAAGCTGGAGTATGCATGCTCGTCATTTAGCAAATTGTCCAAAACAGCCACAGACAAAATTAAAACGCATACCAACCTTAACCTTAGGCGTGTACTAGGTCTCATTAAATGCACTCCAGTCCCCATCATATACCACATGGCGGCTGAGCTTCCACCGGAGTATAGGATTCGATTTCAAACAGCTAAAGAGCTGATCAAGGTATTTGCACACGAGTTACCTGCCAAAGAAATCCTACTCTCCAATAGCGATCTGAACACCAGCTACGCAAAGTCGTACAAGGACTATAAACACATAATAGACCAGGTCAAAATCTGTGATCCGGAGCCAATCCGCACTAGCAAAATAAGGGTAGATTTAGACTTCTTTAAGGGAACAGCCAAAACTAAAAGTGATATAGACCTAACAAGCATTATGCAAATATTTAAGGAAAAAATGGTAGACCTTAGGAGCAGGGGCTTTGAGATTGTCTTCACAGACGGATCCGTTACTCAAAATCATTCAAGCGCAGCCTTTTTAATAGACAGTTCCAAACATTTAGAAAGTTGTTACACAAACAAGATTCTGTCCTCTCTGTCAGCCGAACTGCTAGCGATAGACAAAGCGGTCAACCATGTCATCTCGGTGGGCATACCTCGAGTAGCCATCCTAACCGACAGCAGGAATAGCGCGATAGCATTACAAAAAGCCAGTCATAACAACTTTTTAACCTACAATATTAAAAAGAAAATTGCCAATAATGAGAAACTGAGTCTAGTAGAAATTCACCACATACCCAGTCACACCGGAATTCCGCAAAATGAAATCGTGGACCAGGCCGCCAAGAATGCCCCCTCCCAAGGAACTTTCACAGCACTAGGATGGAGTATAAAAGATGCCACTGCCGAAATTCACCGGCTAATACAGGACGACTGGGAGAAGGACTACGCCAACTTTGCTGCGGAAAAACAGCGGGGTTACTGCGAACTCTTCCCTACAACACTAAACAAACCATGGTTCACCAACCAAGGCTCCAAGCTAAAACCAAACAGTATTAAAATAATTAATAGATTACTTAGCGGCAACGCATTTGACAATTATACGCTTCACAAAATGCACGTAGTAAATAACAACAGATGTGACAGTTGCGATGTTTTCGACAACGCTTCACACATCATTTTCAGCTGTTCCAAATACAACACTGCCAGACATCGCTTTCCATCCCTGGAAAAATACCAAGACGTATACCAGTTCCTAAAACACGAAAATATAGACGCTTACCAACACATAATTAATTTTCTGGAAGAAATTAAAGTAAACTTATAATTAACAGGCCTTAAACCAAATTTCCTAAACCATACAACTTGGCAATTTCCACGTTTACGAGGGTGGCCAAATAATCCCACGGCATTCAAGGGTGTCGTGGAAACTTAAACCACAAAAAAAAAAAAAAAAAAAACCGAGTTTGCCGAGTTAATTCCGAAAAGAAGCCCAAGAAATGGAGGAGAGTTGGTGGGTGGCCAATCTGAAGGCTCTGGAATCGCAGCCGCAACGCCTGGAGGCCCTGACCAGGATGAACACGGCGATCGGCAAGGAGGCGGCCCTGCCGCGCCAACTCATCGGTCGCCTTTTGTCGGCGGCGGAATTGTACGACTGCGCCAATCCCGCCGTGGATGCGTCTACTGGCAAGGATCCCTCTGTGGACGTGGCCCTGGAGCTGCTGGGCCACTGCCTCGACCAGCTGCCGCTGGACACCTCCGACGAGCAGCTGCCCAGGCTGCTGGGTCGCGGCTTAGGCCACCCGAATCCCGCCCTGCGCTCCCTAATCCTGGCCAGCGTGCTCAGGGAGCTGCGCCGCCAGCTGAACGCCGGCCAGGTGCGCCCGCTGCCCAACAACGAGCTGATCCTCCACATCCTGGACGAGCTGAGGCAGCCGCAGACGGAGGCCAGCTCGCTGGCCATCAATATCCTCTCCATTCTGCTCGTCCAGCGACTCGGCGACGCCGACGTGCAGGCCAAGCTGGTGCAGCTGCTGCAGCAGGACGAGATCGTGCGCTGTCGCGCCTACGAACTGGCCGTGGCCCTGGCCAAAAGCAGTGCCGCTTCCCTGAGCGCCGTCGAGTTCATTTTGGACGCGGCACTCAGCGAGCTGGACAACGACGATGTGCTGCTGCAAGCCAGCGTAATGGAGCTCCTGGTGCCGCTGGCCGAGCAGAACCACGGCCTCTCCTACATGGAGCGACGTCGCGTCTTCGATGTGATCAGCGGCCGGGTGCAGCGCATCGAGGAGAATCCCCTGGACGCCCTGCTCATACCCAGCATCATGAAGTTCTTCGGCAAGATTGCCGCCGTCCAGCCGCAGAAGATCATCGCGGGCTATCCGCACATGCTGGCCTGCCTGTTCCAGCAGCTGCAGTCGGAGGACGAGACCATTCTGCCCACAGCCATGGACACGCTGGCCAATTTGGCCAGCACGCCGCAGGGAAAGGTGCTGCTGCACTTGAACTTTAACACGGCCATGGAGGAGTCGTTCAAGAAGTACGGCTCGTACACAAAGAAGCTATCGGCGCCGCTTAAAGAGCGCCTGCTCAACTCGCTGGATGTTGTTTATGCGGTGGAAACACCGCCCACCAAGGAGATTAAGTAAGTTCGCCCTCTTTAGTGTATACATCTTGCTGATGATTCCCTTTCCTTCCAGTTCCATCCTAAAAACCTGGTACGAAAGCTTCGCCGGCGGAGCACAGGCCAATGCCATCATGGAGCTGATCAACACGCCGTTCCCCGACCTCCAGTTGGCCGCTTTGGGTCTCCTGAAGTCCATCTGCAAGTACAACTGGGGCATTGTGGCCCTGAAGAACACCGGCGGCGCTGTGGAGTTCCTGCTGTCGCGCCAGAAGGATCTGCACAAGGACGTCAAGTACCTCAAGTGGGAGATCATGGAGATGCTGGCCGCCAGCGCCGAGTTCTCGCCCACCGAAACCGTGCGCTTCGCGGCCTACGTGAACGAGGGTCCCTACCACATCCAGGCGGACGTTAACATAGCCACCGAGGGGCAAAGCTAAGTGCCAAGCATTTACCGCCTTTTACCGCCGATTATAAATCAAGTGTACAGCGAAAGGGTTCAACTAACATCTGAATATGTATTTATAGAATTACAATAAGATTTAACTATTAGATCACATGTAACAAAGCCCCGCGGGGCAGGTCGAATTGATGGGGATATACATGTACTTTGGACAATTGTAAGAGGTTTGCCTTAAAAACGATTGGTAAAATATCTTTGGGGGGTGAGAAATAAAAGATATTAAATGAAGAAACTTGTGATAAATGATGCGAAGTACCAACAAGTACGAATTGAACCAATAGCTTAAGGCTCCGATTACTTGGAAGAGTCCAATGCCCAAGCCACCCACCCCATTGCCCCGTTTTGTATGTAAGTCTGTTGATCTCGTGCTGCTCCCTTTCCCCTACAGATAGCTCATCTGTCGGTGGGACATCCGCTTGCGTCCCGATCCGCCGCCCACTCCGCCACCCAAATGGGCCAGGCTTACGCTCAATCCAGACTCGTAGGCGGTCTGCGTTTGGGATCGGGTCTCGTTGTTCACCAGCGAGCAGCTGGGCAGCGTGTGGCAGTAGCGGCGCAGCTGCTGCTTGAAGGCCGCCGTGGTGAGAGTGTAGAGCACCGGATTGAGGGCCGAGTTCACGGGCAGCACCAGCACGGCCAGCCAGGCATACAGATCGGGGGAGATGTCGCAGCCTAAAGGGGGATATATATATATAATTTACTACACAAACAATTTCTATCATTATTTCATATCAACAAGAAGCCGATATGATTAATGTCAAATGTATGATTCCAACTTATCAACTTGATATTTTATCATTTCATAAAAGTTATAAAAATACTGTTTTAAAATATCAAATGAAGTATTTTTAAACAAATATTGTAAAATAAAATAATCATTAACTTTATTCATATCAAAATGATATAAAATTAACCTGCACATATCAATATGATCTTTCGGTCAAGTTTTTTCTATGTAAGAGAATACATAGACTAATTTACTACACAAATAAAATAGTGTAATTTCTATCATTATTTCGTATCAACAAGAAGCCGATATGATTAATGTCAAATGTATGATTCCAACATGTCAACTTGATATCTTATCATTTCATAAAACTTATAAAAATACTGTTTTAAAATATCAAATGTAGTATTTCTGAACAAATATTGTAAAGCAAGATAAACATGATCTTAATTCACATCAAAGTGATAAGAAATTAACTTGCACACATCAATCTGATCTTTTGTCAATTTTTTTCTTTGTAAGAGAGATTTACTCACCCGAAAGGGCAGCCACTTTGACCACAATTATGGGCAGCCAGCAGGCGCAATCGGTGGTCACAATGATGGCAAAGCTATTGGAAATAATTTCGAAATTACATTATATAATAAATAAAATAAAATTCCAAAGTAAGGAAAACCTTACCGAGTGGCCACCACATTCTCGCGGCCGCTGTGAGTGCTCCGCATTCCGCCGCCCGAATCCCTGATCGCCTGCAACATCCGTATGTAGGAAAACAGGATGAAGACCAGTGACAACGTGTTGACCAGGATGAACAGTAGCGCCGAGTACTCCCATCCCTTGTAATAATAATTTGTTGGGAATATTAATATTTAAATAAGTTAACAGAAGAAAGGCTAATACCTTGGCATAGGGATCGTGGATGTGGAGGGACAAGCAGACACCGTTGTTGCCATAGAAATGGCTGCCAAAGTAGGGATTGGGCAGGAGTGGAGCAGCAGCCAGTCCAAAACTAATGCCCCACAGGAGCAACAGACGGAGGACAATTCTACAAAGAAAAAGCTTTTTATTAATTTATTTTTCTTAAATTTTATATAACAAAATTTTTAACTAAGGGCAATTAATATTATTAAAATGAAATCACTTTGGTCAAAACAAATATTTAAGAATGCATGTAAGGCAAACACAAATCTGAGTGTTTACCATATCAATAGGGCCACAAAAGTGTAATTAAACTAATGGAATAACCAACCAGAATTTTGTTTTAATGGCATATGGAAAATAATTGTAATTACTATTACTATTTATCTAAAATATCTCATGCCAAATACATTCTAAAAGCAATTTATATTATTAAAATGGAATAACTTGGGACTAAACAAATATTAAAGGCAAAACATAAATCTGAATATGGTAAACACCATATCAACAGGACCACAAAAATGTAATTAAACTAATAGGATAGACAAACACTTTGCTTTTAAAGCAAAACTAATTTCACTACAAGTTCATACACCTTACCGAACTTTCTCCGTATCTCGGGGCTTCAGGGGCCTCGTCACAGACATCAGACGATCCCAGGTGACCAGTGTGAGCAGCAGCGTCGACGACTGGCAACTGAAGGTGCTGAGGAAGCCTACACGGCGGATACATAATTCACATTAGCATCCCATTAGGTTTTTCTTTAGGGGTAATTGCGGTAACCGGGGATGCGTACCTGCGAAGGCGCAAATGCCGCTGTGCCGCCAGGCCTCCTCGTATTTGATGTACTCGCCGCGGAAACTAATGTCCGCACAGGCAATCAGCGTCAGGTAAATGCCCATGAGGAAGTCGCTGGCGGCCAAATGGCGGAGGTAGAGCGAGTGCTCCACGTTGCTCCGCGACTTGTAGAAGTAGCGCCCCAGCAGGACCAGCAGGTTGCCCACCACGGCAATTGAGGCCATCACCCAAACGCTGTTAAGGATGGAAGAAGTACACGGATAGAAACAAAATACATATCTATTCATATTTAATATTTATATAATTTAATTTGAATTTCGATTTTGTAAAGTATCCCCTTGATACACAAAGTAATTAGTGAATTTTTAATTATTTATTGGTAAAATAAAATTTTCGTCAATTTTCAATTTTTTTATAAGGAGGTACCTCATGATTTTTTACGAAAAATGGGGAAAAAAATAAAATGTCCAAGTTTAAGTGCCAATCGATTGGAAATTTAATAACGATTTCAGAAAGGTATGACAATCAAAAATTGGATCAGTATTTCCATTGTTATGGCCAAAACAGGAATTATTTTTTTGTAAAAAATTGGGATCTTGATTTTTGGTAAAAAAATGAATTTTTTCTTTTCGTTTTTTTGCTGTAACTTGGCCAAAAATGGTCCTACACAAAAAATAAATACTGTTTTGAACAGATAACTAAAAAATAAATAAATCCATGACACTTTCCGGATGATCTTGATAAAATAAAATTTTCGTCAATTTTTTATTTTTTTATAAGGGGGTACATCATGATTTTTTGCGAAAAATTGACAAAAATTAAAATTCTCAGGTTTGAATGCCAATCGACTGGAAATTTAATAACGAGTTCAGAGAGGTATGACAATCCATATTTGGATCAGTATTTCCATTGTTATGGCTAAAAAACGAATTATTTTTTTGTGAAAAATTGGGATCCGGATTTTTGGAAACTTGATTTTTTTAGCGTGTTACGCAAAAAGACAACAGAGAGGAAAATCACTTGTGACCTTGCCTTAGACAATTGTCGTTATGCCGCTACCCATAAATTCGGGCAATTAAAGGAAATTTAAGTCTTGCTGTGTTTGACCTCTGCGTTTGTGGCTCGCACAATTGCCAATTGCCCTGCCCGGGTGTCTCATTATTGCAGTTCTGCTGACCGGGGAGGTGTGGCCATGGATGCTTGAGTGGAGCGACGAGACTTGGGCACAAAGCAGAAGGCACACAGCACAAAGCACGCAGCACAAAGCACAAAGCACGCAGCAAAGCAGCAGCAATATCAGCATTCACAGGAGCAGAAATGGCAAAAGTGAGTGTCGACTGTGATTCAATGACAATTATAGACACTAGGAATCGTGGCCTCATATCCTTGGAGGTAGAGAGACCTGTAATTTATGCGAGTGTTCCGCTTCCCATTCATTGCCAACACTCGGCACTTGATGATGATTGACCATCATCAGGCTTGACCTAATGCTGATCCCAGAAACAGCCAGCGTAGCTTCCAATTTCACTAAATGCTTATTAAATTAATAGGAGTTGCAGCTTCCTCTGGACGATGGTAAAGGTCATCCTTTATAGTACTTTAACCGTAAATATAAAATCAAAAAAAGTGATGGTATAAAAGCTAATAGAGATAGATTTAAAATTCAGGGTCACCAAAAGTTACACAAATATACTATTTTAGATGAACTAAAACTAAAAGCTAGAGGTCATCCAATATAATACTCTGATAGATTATAAAAATCAAAGAAAATTATGGTCTAAAAATTAATAGATGTAGATTTAAAGTTTGGGGTCACCAAATGTTTCAAAAATTTAATAATGTAGTCTATATAAAACTGAAAGCTAGGGGTCATCACTAAAAATACGCTGATAGGTAAATAAAAATAAAGAAAATGACGGTATAGAAAAATCTGCGATTCTGATTTAAAGTTCGGGGTCACCAGTAGTTACAAAAATGTAATATTGCATAAAGCAATCAGCTAGACTCCGGAAATTCGAATTTTATTTTTTTCTTGGCTCTAAATAAATTGAGGTCACCGATTCAAACGAACTGAAGGGTATAACAGGCATCTTCCCGCCTGCAGCAACAACGCATTAACGTTGTAAATTTAAGCAAAACATCCCTGGTGCACAGCAGCCACTTTCTACCTTTCCCCCAAGAAAGGATGGGAGTGCAGCCGTAAATAGAGGCTGGGAATCCAGGTGGCTAATAAAAGTAGGGACCACCGGCCTGAGAGCAACGGAATGAATGTAGCCAGCCGGAAAAACGGAAAAACAGAAGAACGGGAGCCGCGCCAACGACTTGAAAACCTAAAGTATTTAATTTTTATGAAAACGTCAACTTAGAATAATGAAATAATGTACTAAGCACAAAAGTAAATTCTCGCTGGCACCGGCATCCTTGCAGCCTCGTATCCTTGGATCCCATCCTAAGCATCCTTGTGTTTGTCTGGCTGTGTGTGTGCACATGTCGGTGTTTGCTCTCGCTGGGAAAACCCCGAGATGAAGATGTGGATGTGGATGGAGGTGGAGATGCGGATGAAGATGAAGACGGCGGCATGCAGAGTGTGTGTAAAATGTGTAAAAGGCAAACAAACAAACAACCGACGAGGAAGGAACGTAATTTTCATTTTCAACAGGAACACATCCTAGACGGCGATGGCAGCCAGCCAGATAATCACTCAGGAGTCTTGATGACAAGTGACTGCCGGTTGCCAGTTGCCAGTTCCGAATTCCCTGTATTCTGTATTCTGTTTTCTGTTTTCAGTTTTCAGTTACCAGTTCCCAGTTGTTGATGGGTCTACTTATTTGTCTTGCCAAGTAGCTACTTGGCTAAAATACCAAATACCGAGGAAGGCACAATGTTTAGACAGCGGGTCTAGGCACTTCAAAAGGTTCCATTTTGGGGTGTTGAGCGATTAGCGCAGGAAACAGAAACTGCGGGAGATTTGGCGCCCAACGTGAGGCCAAGGAGCTATGGAGTTCAGCGTAAATTAAGTAATTGATTATGCGCCAGAAATCGTGACCCGAAATGATTCCCATTTCGACATATACTAATCTTTAAAGAAAACAATTGTAAGTGGAGCATTTATGAGGGAATTAGTCTTAAATTTGACTAATTTATATATTAAATAAAACAAAATAAAAGATCTTTAACCCGCTAAATGAGCACACAAAAATTATTGGCGCTCAACGTGGGGCCACCAAATGTTATATCACGTCGTTATTACCTCGTTAAGAGGTGTTTTCGCTTGATTCTAATTCAAGTTCGCTCCTGTACTTGGTAATTCTCCTCTTAGGCAGAACAATGCAAGTCTTGCACTCTAATTGCAGGCAAGCTCGGTTGAACTTGCAATTGCACAGACTTCGAGGGCCATAATGAGAATGATTTAATTGCAGACTAATGAATGCGATTTACACACAGGCAGCAGAGACCGCAATGCAAAGTCCCTCCCTCAAGCTTACCAGTTGGTTTCCCGGGCTTTTCGCAAGGGCTCTTAGCTTGATTAAATCGAAATCATCTTATGTTCGGGGGTACTACTCACCTGCCTCTCAATATCTGGTTGTCCAGTAGGTGCAACTTGCTGCTGATGCCGTCGCCATGTGGGGAACAGACTCGCACACTCATGGCGGCGCTACACAAATGGAACCACGAGAAGTAACTGCCGGGGACAGACAAGCAGGGGTATTTCCGGTTTAAAGAGGTGTATGGCCCATAACCATTACAATTTGGCTGGGGCATTTACTCACATATAATCCAGGCTGCTCAGGTTTTTTAGGACCCGCGGATCGAGGGTCTGAAAGCGATTGCCCGTTAGCAGCAGCGAGCTGAGGTTCTTCAGGCAGGCGAAGGCCTCCAGGTCGAATCCCTCGATGCGGTTCTCGTTCAAGTGTCTATGGGGGAAATCGGAAATCGGCGAAAAAGCCAGGACATTTGGTTGGTGAAAGTGGTTAACACATCAGAGCGGCGCGGGTTTATGGGGCAGCGCATAAAAGCCAAGCATTGCTTCGTTTTCTTCCTATTTGCATTCGAGATTGGTTCTCAGTATCGGACGAGGAGGGGTAAAAAAAGAAAGGAGCTTAGGTGGAGGCAAAGTTTCATCATTAAAGTTGGGCCACCGATGCCGTGGCACGTATCCGGTATTTGTCCGTCCGTCGTTCTTTCTCTCTCTGATGTTTTTCTTGGATATCCTGGATATCTCTTTTTGATTTTTGCCCTGCATGCAAATCATTCCACAGGACAGAAGGCTGAGAGGCCTCATCTTTGAAGCCCGAACCCCGAAAGCCTCCTCAATATGCATTAGATAAAGGCAGCGGAATGCCGACTGGGTTTGGGTGGCTAGTATAATATAGTATATATTAGTTTTCGCAAATGAAAAACTGTCAGCTTTCGGCTTTGCATTCCTTCAGACTTCAGACTTGAGCCCACATAGCATTATTGATAAATTAAATTCCTCTCGGCCAAAGCGAAACTTAAACGGCAATAAATCCAAATGACACTTTCTGCCACAGCCCCTTTCCCATTCCCTTTGCTCCTGAAATCGGAAATCGGAAATCAGGGTGCGAGGTCCGAGGTCCCGAAGTCCTCTGGTCACACGGGTTTTATGGAAGATGGAAGATGGAAGCAGAAGCCGAGCAGAAGGAAAAATCCATCAGAGGTCAGAGGAGTGACACTTGTTTGTTCGATGCCCTGTACTTATGAATCCCGGTGGGGTATAGTCGAACTAGGATAGTTTAGTAATTACATACAAAAAATTTAAATTTTTTAAATAATAATTAATTGACATATAAATAGATTCCTTTGAACTTGACCTAAGATATTCATATCTAAACCTTTTTATTTTACAGGGTATTGGTTACTTTCTTTCTTTTCAACCACAAACAACTTACAATCCTTGTAGATTGCTGAGATTGCAAAAGGTTTCATCTCGTATGTGGGATAATCGATTGCCAGCCAAATATCTGCAATCGACAAAGGATTGATATATTTATAGGTAGTTCCTCATGTGAGAGAGAACTTTTTCAACTTACAAATGTCTAAGTCGCGGAAAGGGAAATGTGTTGGCGGCTATATCTTCGATCTGATTGTGATCCAGGGACAGAGTCTGCAGATTGAGCAGGGTTCTGGGAAATCTTTCGGGATCCAGTCGCTTCAAGTGGTTTTCGTTGAGATAGCTTAAAACATATATAATTACATGCATTTCTAAGGGATTTCCTAAGATACTTACAGCTTTTCCAAACTCGGCAGTTGGGCAAACACCTCGGCCTCAAAGTTTCCAATGCGATTACCGCGCAGGTCCCTTAAACCAATGTATTTCTCAGTATTTTATTTTTTTTTAAACATTTTTTGAAACACTCACAGCTCCTCCAGTTGCTGTAGATTTCGAAAATCACTGCGTTTCAGGTGGTGCAGGCGGTTGCGTGCCAAAATTCTGAACATTCCCCCCCGGGGGAAATCATATGAAATAGATAAAAAATCTCATTTTAATGCTGAAAAGTTGGCAACAAAAGCCGCTGCAATTGCATCCAGTCAGTGAAAAGTCGGCACATATATCTCGATTTTAATTAGCCATTAAGCGCAAGTAACAAACGCCCCACGAGTAAATGCACTTTTGCCCCTGAGAAACCGTTGCCTGTACCAAAATTTCAGTAGTACACAAGGAAAATTTATATACGTTATGAATTTATTTTTGAATTTTTTTTCTTATATTGAATTATTTGGTGATTTAGTTAAGAGTACGATTAATATCAAGTTTATTATTGTTATTATTAAAAAAGATTATTATTATAAAACTTAAAGGTCTTAAAATTTTTTTGAACAGTGCACTAGAATTGTCAACCGGACAGAGCCAAGTTTCAGGGCAATGCCAAGTGCAGCTGGTCCTCCGGATTCGGTGGCGCCGGAGACGAAGTACTACGGATATATCTCTGGACCTTCCCCCCCAACACACACACACACACAGATTTGAAATCCGCCTTCCGCCGCAAAAGTGTAACTGAGTTGTTTATGTGTTTTTGTGTGCCGGCAGTTTTGTCTACTTTTAAGGGTATTTAGACGGGTATAATGATGAGCTAATGAATTGGTTATAATGAGAATTTGTAGAAAAGAATGTGTACTAAATTCATAATAAAATATATTGGATATTTTTACCCTAAACTATAAACAGCCATCTAATATAAAAAAATAAAAATATGTTTTTTAAAAGATAACCTTTAAAAAATATACCTATATAATTAATTAGATTTTACTATCATCTTTTATAAACGGGTGTAGATTTCTATTAGGGGGCAACAATGTATTTAGTTGTGGGGGGATTTCACAACAAATTTTTTGTTGCATACTTTTTGAATACCCTATTTTTTTTATTTTATTACACGAGCGGGGGGAATATTCCCCCTCTTTTATTTCTATAGAAATGTATTTATATTTTGTTAATTTTAGATTTAGTAAATTTTTTTTATCTAAATTAAATAGAGTATCTCTTCGATCATAGCCGGTGGATTAACCTTGTGTTGGTGCCCTTTCGCCAGCTGGCGTTGTTATTGTTTTTGGACTTTTAAGGCGGCGTCGGTGGGAAAAGGAAAAAGGGGGCGTGGGGCCGCTCGAGTCAGTGCACAAAACAAGCTGAAAACTGAAAACTTTTTACCGTCTGTGCTAATATTTTTATGCTCCGAGGCCGCGAGGCGAAAAATAAAGGGGAGCAACAGAAGGGGCAAATGGGAAATGGGGAAAGCGCCACAACAATGAGGCAAGAATGCGATGCCACATTGTCAGTCGATTGGGCAAGAGGTTGCCTTTAATCCGGCAACAATGGGCCAACTTTATGGGCCAACAAAGGTTGACAGCAATTGTGATTGTGATTAGCATCGGCTGTAGTGGGCCGACTGGGCCACCCAAATCTCACATGAGTCCCGATATAATCGACCCACTACGGTTATTGGCAATTACTGGATTTTTGTCATTTAGCACCTCCGGCTGGCCAAAAAATAATGGCTTTTTATCGCCGCATATCTCTTGCTCTGCCCTTCGAAATTTGAAATTCGAAATTGTGCAATGCATTTGCAGCTATGTGAGGACCATTTTGTGCATTGGCAAAATGCGAGAATTTAAGCCAAGTTTCCTGCTATTTTTCCTGCCTAATTTGATTTATGCTTAATTAGCATTTATTGGCACACACATAAATCGGCAATCGTTTTGCAATTGTATTTTTTATTGAATTTATTATTTATTTTTATGAATATGCATGGCCCCGGCAAAAAGCCTCTGGATAAAATAAATAACCAAGTCACTAATGCAGGGCTAAAACAAAGATTTCATTTAAAGTGAGCTTTAAACTGTGAATTAATATTAACTTTTTAAGGTTTAACGTAAAAATAAAGCTCTAAAAACAGTTAAAAAAACAGTTAAATTTCCATTGATTTTTCAAAGTTTAACTCCCAGTTTAAATTTAACATACGGTTGAGAAAACGGACCAAAAGATGTTAAATTTTAATTAAATAAATAAGGAACGTCCTATTCTCTATTTTCTGTAATGGGTAACTGATAGTCGAGCGGTTACAACTAGGTAATATTCAAGAGCCAACCGGAAGTTGGTCATTAAGAAGACGCGTTAAAAACGGCATAGCCCCCATTAATGAATATCGACTGAAGCGATACCGATGATACTTACAGAATCCTCAATTGATTGCCCTCGGGAAAGAAGTGTTCCGGCAGATGCGGCAATTTATTATCGTCCATATAACTGAAAGGACATTACGAGCACATAAGTTGGGAGTGGGGAAATTATTAAAGAATCGACTTTGACTGCCGTGAAAGATGCGAAAGATGGGGTGAAAAAAAAAAATGGAAAACTGTTAAGTGCACATAAATAATGAGACTTAATTATGAGTTATTGTGGGGAGTGGGTCACGTTGCTGCGAAAGGATACGAAGGATACGAAGGCGGATACTCACAGGGTCTTCAGTGGGCTGTCCGCCAGGCGATCGAAGGCATGCGAGGCAATCTCACGGATTGAGCAGAACTTCAGCACTCTGGAGAAGGAGAAGGACAGAAAAAAAACAAATATAAAAGCCATACAAAAACAGGCGACAAGTCGAGTGAATAAAACGTAATAAATATGAGATTCAATTGTAAACTTGGCACAATGGGCGTCGGCTCGAAAGTTCCACAGCTATAGCTACCATAACTTTTTGGCCGCCCATCCCCGAGGATGAGATATGGATAATAATGCGCTTTGTTTTCGTCGCCTCATTGTTTTGGCCCCAAACTTGGGGCTCATTTGTATGAGTAAATACAAATACGGGACTAACAACTTGCATTCCGTCTTCATTAGGAGCCTGGGGATACTTTTAAACTTTTTTTTAAATTTAATTTTTAAAATATTTAAATTTTCCACACCTCAAAAGTTAAAATAGGTGTCTAAAAGTATGCAACATTATATTATTAATCCGAAAGACCACTATCTATTATTCACTGCATACTTTTAGACATAAATATTAACATTCTTAAAGGGATTTCATGTCAAATTTTAAACAATTGTTTTAATTATTTCTCCTGTTTAATAAATCATTTGCAAGCTGCATTGGTAGGCCATCGCCATTCATTTAAACTCGAATTCGGTTTCCATTTGGCGCACTTAATGGCCCAATAAATCTGTATTTCTGTTCTGTTCTTGTTTTGCATCTAGTTTTTACGGCCAAATGCGGGATAAACCTGCGGACAGAAATGCCAACCTATTTATAGAAGTAATTGTCTCCTTGATTTTGATCCCTGGAATTTCCTAGGACGGCGATGACAACAAGGATTCACCCCCACTGCGACGCAAAGTTGAACGTGGAAAAAAATCCGTGCCCCTGGGCTGATATGAGGATTGTTTTCGGGTTCGGGAGGTCGTTAAAAATTCATCGTCACGAAATCTGCCCACGAAATCGAGGGAAGATAAATGCGTGCAATCGAATGACTTGTTGAAAATAACCCAGGGATATAAATAAAGTGGTAGGCAATTGGAGCAGGCGGAATGTCCTTGTTGAGGCGAGAAGCGAAGGTTCCTCCCAAAGGAGTGTGCATATTGGCGATGGTAACTCGAGGAATCGCAAGCAACTAAACCCTGCTTTCGCGAAACTTTGGGATTTAAATTCGAGCTGAAATTGGCGAAACTTTAACGTCAACGAAAAACTTGCAAGGCAACTTGGACACTGAAAGAAAAAGTCAATAAAAAGCAAAATAAAATTCCTAGAGCTTTGAAATCACTAATAAAAGTGTCTAAAAGTATGCAAAAAAAAAATAAATATATATTGTAGCCTACTTATCCGACACCTTAATAAATATTATTTCCTTAAAAATCTTAATTATTTGTACTATAATTTTAATGAATTACGAACACAACTTTAGAGTTTAAAACTGCTCAAATTTGGTCCTTCGAGTGCAGTGTGTGTACTCCCCCGTTGTTAAAATTTATACCTAGATCGTGAGCGTGAGCTTACAACAAACAGGGAACAGGGAATCTCTTTCGGAGGACTGTGGGTGTCCATCTTCAGTGAGTGGCGATACGACATGCACCACGAATGTCTGCTTTAAGCCCGGCCAGAATGTCCTTTGGCACAGTGACACATAAACTGCAACACGATGCCGTCTGGGCCGGCATATGTGCCATGTTCGAGAGTCTGAGAGGCTGAGACCGCTGGCTTATCCTTCCGGCTGTCTAGTTTGTACGTAATTTGTATGTACGCCAGCGTGTGATGGCCACCAGTGATACCGACACAACGACAACGACACGACGACGAGAACGAGGACTACTTAAAGGCACCATTAAGAACACAGCATGTCGCTAATATTCAATGCGGTCTGGTCTGGTCCAGTCGGCACTGGTCTGTTATGTCCTGCTCCCTCCAGTCTCCCTAAATATTTGAGCATCCACCATCGCTTGCAGCCGCTGCAGTCAGAGTCATCTGCTTGCATTTCCGTTTTAATTAAGAACCCGACTTACAACACCCCTTCGGTAAAGGGGAAACTCCATCAAAACACCCAAGAAACCATTACTTTCCCATATATATATTATTTTAATGGATTCCGCTTAAAGTGCAGGCTAGCTACTTACAGGATCTCCATGTCTGGCAGTTCACTGAAGAAGGTCTCGTGAATGGTTTCGAAATTGTTTCCGGTTAGATCGCTGTAAGTTATACAAAATTAAATATTTAAATTAATATATTAAATAATCTTTATAAACATAGAAAAAGTTTCTTTTAATCTTTCAAAATGTATAAATAACTAGAATAAAGCAGCGCAACTGTACTTACAGCGTTACCAGATCGTTCTGCGGCAAAAGTGCTGGAATAACGGTAAGCTGTTGAAAGCGGCACAACATTTCGTGACCTCGGCAAGGACAGCTAAAGTTCTCGTTGCGCCACTCTGAAAGAAAAGCAGAGTTCTAGTTTATTAGAATTTTTTAATATTTTCTTTTAATAGTTTTGAATAAATTTCGATTATTTCGATATTTTAATCGGATATATCGGCACTTACGGCACTCGCCAATCCGCAGGTCGTCGTTCGTGCCGAACGTCTGTTTCCTGTACAGGTGGTCCCAGTACTTGGCATCCACCTCATTCACGCAGTTCAACTCATCCGATCTGTCATCGCAGTCGACGGTTCCGTCGCAGTTGGCCCGCTGGGGAACACATTGTGCCGTCGTGTTGCAGTGGAAGTAGCCGCCGGGACACTTGTCGCCGGAGTCGGGAACCAGGACAACGGACTCGATGCCATCGATTGCGCCCAGGAGCGATATCACCTCCTTAGCTTCCACCTCCATTTCCGTTTCCGGTTTCGTTCCGATTCCCGTTCGTGTGCTTTCTGTTGCCGTCCCTGTCGCTGCCGCATTAGAAGTTAGTGCGAGCAGGATGGAGAGAACAATGGGGAGTCCTAAAAAGGATCAAGGCGATAACGATTACTGGGGGTTGTTATCGACTGTTTCGTTTTATTCAATAAATGCTTCGAGAAATCCAGTAAAATAGAAATAAATAAAGATAATTTACAAAGCTTATTACCAAGATACAAAAATAGCGTCCAGGAAGTAATTGGAATTTAAACATTCAAATTGAAAATGCAGAAAGCCCCGAGCAATTCGTTTAACTTATGGCCAAGAGCAGGAGAAAAAGATAAAGAAACTCAATGCGTCGGAACCAACAGATGTTCTTGCCTATATGGCTCCATAAATTTCTTTAGCAAATGGGGCCGAAATATTTGTTTAACCAATTAAATGGGTTAATTAGCATCCGATTAGCCGAACAGCGAGATGAGAGTTTTGGGGGGAGGAACATTGTGTTTTTTGGCCTCTTCATTGATGTTTCACTTGATGATGAACTCAACACGCGCTTCTGTGATAGGATATATGGGATAGAATTTATATATATTAAGCAACCCCTAAGAACCGAACCACTCATCTCTGCCCCTGAGGCTGTGTTGTCAGTGCATTTATCATTTTTAACGATTGCACTTAATGCGTCGCAATTTCCAGCGCCCACACACTCAAAAAATTATTTTTTCTTAAATATAGAAAAAAAAATTTTTTTCTGTGCTTCAAAAAAATATTCTATAAAGAGGAAAAATTTTCTAATCTTCAGAAAAATTTTCTAATCTTCAAAAAAATTCTGAATTGAACGAGTTTTTTTAGAAAATATTTTCTGAAATACAGAAAAATCAATTTTTTTCTAAATTATAAGGTTTATTTTTCTAATCATCCTTTCTTTTTTTGAGGGTTAAAATCGCCATTGATTTTAGAAAAAAAAAGACTGAACTTTTCTAAAACTAAAAAAAAATTGCCATTAAAATTATAAATATTTCTACATAATAGAAATATTGTTTTTCTAATAACAGAAAATTTTTTTGAAGATTTTTCTAACATTTTGAAAAAAATGTGTGATGTTAAGAAATATTTTTCTAGAAAATAAAAAATTTAACCGTATTTGATCGATTTCCTTTCTTATAGACTTTTTAGAAAAGTTTTTTTTAGCCTAAGAAAAAATCGCTATTAATCGAAGAAAATTTCCGGGATTGGTAGCCTAGGGGTCTAACGCGTGCGTGCATGCATATGTTATTCAAGCTTGCGGCTGCAAGAGTGAGTTCAAACCCACGTCGAGACGAAAAACTCGTGGTGTCTTTTTGTTTTTTTTTTTAACACTAATAGTTACATATTAATAAAAAAATGTATTGCATTTTGTTTAAGTTTTTCAAATTTGAAACATTCAATTACTGTTACTATTGAACCATAATAAATAATAAATATATAAATATTAATATTAATCAATAAATATTTAAAAGTAAAATTAAATGATAAACTAAAAGGAATAACCAGAAGAAAGCCAGATCAATTTGAGTAAAAATAGGAGAACAAAATGTGAATAGACTTTGTACAGCGCCTCACGTGATGCTTCCGTGGCGTAGCTAGTAGAGTGCTTGACTGCAAACTGTGAGGCGCGAGCGGTTAGCGGTTCGAATCCCGCGTGCGGCGACCAAGATGTTTTTCTCAAAATAGTAAGTTATTGGGTTTTTATATTTATAATTTGTAATTTGTACACTCATTTCAGTTCCAATTTGAAACCACCCATGTGCTCAATTAAAGGAAATTAAAATAAGGTGACAAACAAGAACGAAAGAAAAAACAACACAAAGGCCGTGGCGTCACAGAAACAACCGGGTATAATTCCGAAGCCCGAAAATAGATTTTTGTATTTTCTGAATTTGAGAAATTTTTTTTTTTTTATTTAAAAAATATTTGTCTATATTTAAAAAAAAACCGTATTTCTATTTTTTAGAAAACCTTTATTTCTAAATTCTAAGAAATAATTTTTTACTTTCTAGCAAAATATTTCTAAATTGCAGTCTATTTTTTTTTGATTTTTAGAAAAAACGTCTTTGATTTTAAAAACCTACTTTCTTTAATATAGACAAAATCGCCAGTAAAGCAAATTCATAGGCGATTTTCTAAAACCAAGGGCGATTTCAGTCGATTTTTTTTTTGGGTGCACGGAATCGCAATCGATTGGGTCTGTGGGGGAAATACCCATCGATATCTGAAGTTGGGAATTGTGAATTGTAAATTGCAAATATGTAAAATGTGTAATAAAATTGTTTGTAATAAAAATTACGCACAGTACATTTGTGGCCCAATGGCGATGAAATGTTCCGTGAAATGCCCGTCTGTCAGGACACTTTTTTTCACGGCCCCCTATAATATGTATAATCCATACCCCCAACCCGGAATCCTTTCGATTTTCGTTGGAGCTTCGATAAGGCATCATGCTCATCATCAGCATGACTGGCTGACTTTCTGACGCGACGGTAAATGGAAAAGGCATAACGAAAAAATAAAACTACCTGCACAAAAAGTATAATTATAATGCGAAAACGGGAAAGGTAAACAAATGCAAATCAAATTAAATCGAGACGTGGAAATATCGGACTTAAGAGCTGATGATACGATGCGAAGTTTTTGTGCTCTATGTTGCAAGTCATAAAATACATAATATAGGGAGGGAAATAAAATGTTAAGCAAAGATAAATCAAAATCACAAATAGATATTGGATTATCTGCGATAACACTTTTTTTTTTAACCCACTTTTAAAATGAATTATGATTTATTTATATAGATTGGGGTAAAAATTATTGTGAATGCGCTGAAACCAAATTATTTTTCTTTATTTATTTATCATTTATTTTTGAAAATCAGTCAGAAAGTAATGATGAACGTTAGCTAAGGACCTCAGTTGTTCAAATCAGTTAATCTTTTTACTTTGCGACCTTTTTTGGCCAAGCTACAACAAAATTAAACATAATAAATATACTTCAAAAATTACATTTTTCGATTTCAATTTCAATTATGTACTTCATTCCAAATTCGAAGAGGCTCACAAAAGTATAGCTGCTCCTTGCGCAAGGGCTTTTCATAATTTGCTTAAAAAACATATTTGCAGATCAACAAATGGAAAATTCCAGGCAGTGGAAAACATATGGCCAGTCCTGTCCCCCCGCTTTATAAGCAAGGATAAACAAGGACCCCGGGATGGCATTGCAGGTCATAACTCAGGCGGCGGAGAGGACAACGGATTGCAATTACGGATGGAGATGGAGATGGTGAGGAGCCAGGAGAATCAGGAGAACCAGGAGAGCCGGGAGAAGGACTGCCACAATGGAAAATGAAATGGAAATGATGAGCAGGGGCTGCGACTCTATAAAAGTGTAATTAAGCGCGGCGTCCAAGGGCGGGAATGGAAAATGGGAAAGGGGGATCCGGGATCCGAATGCCAGGACAAGGACAAGGACATTGCGCATTTGACACGTGTTGCTAATGTGCTTGGGGATGGGTTAAGGGTTAAGGTATAGGGGTAGCTTGGAACCCCCCAGCCCCCAAACCCCCAACCTCCCGCGCAATCCAATCCCGTAAGCCCAACGAATGCCGATGGCGTATCAACGTTTTGTCAACACATTTGCGGCAAATTGAAATGTTTGATGTGTGCGGCTTGGACTCGTCGGGCTACTGCCATGATTGATGATCCAGATCCCAGCAGGGGATTTTCCCATACTCTATTTCCCATTTCCCATCTAGAGTGCATCCAGAAGGTGCTGCAAAAGCAAGAACGCTCTGCTCAGAAAAGATACTTTTACAACTTTGTAGCTCATAAATTCCCATTGAGCCAATCAAAGGGGTGCACCATCGCTTCAGAAATTTACACTGTAGCGGAGAAGAAGAAATAATCACACAGAAAAGGCTTCAAGCTAAAATTATTAAAAGGTTAAATGGTTAACTTTTGCATTCTTCAGGCAAATAATGGGATTTTACAGTGACAGAAAAAAGGGAGATCTTTTTTCAAATATTTAATTTCTAATAAAAGCTCGTGTTTTACATAAATTAAAAGGGAGAAAGCAATATAACCGTTACTTAGCTAAAGGGAGTGCGAGGGAGATGAAGTTATGCAAGTAGTAAATCGACTGCTTGCACTGCTTTTTCGATTATTTGCTCATAACTTTTAAATGAATTTGGCGATTAAAAAATGTTCTTCTACATTTGGATAGGTATTCATAAGCCCAATAAAATGACATCTACATTTTTCAGACTTTGCTTTCCATCTAACAGAATTTATAATAGAAAAATGGTATAATATTCCTATCTAAAATAAAAAATCTATACAATTCAGAAATAAACGTCGAAAGTTTAGATTTAAAATTTTTTCTCAGTGCACTAGCACACCCAAACACTTGATCAGACCACCCTCGAAATTGACTCGGATTTGTTTATCCAGTCTGACCCTTGCCTTGCCCCAATTTTCCTCACCTGAAAGTAGCCTCAAGAGGTAAAAGTTTCGGCTTTTTCTGCGGGCCAGGGGCGGGGCAGCAATTAAAACAGAGGAAAATCCAATAGGAACTCACGAAAATAGAAGTCAGTTGTGCTCGGCGGCTAAGTAAACAAATTGTCTGCAGTTCGATGTCCGATGTCTATTATCCGAGAAGCTCCCTGTCCGCCGATCAATATCCATTAGATCATCTGATGAATCAGAGTTCCTAACTTGATAATAATACTTGACCTAAGAACTTGGCAGTCAAGTGAATTAATATTTATAATTATTTGCCAAAAAACTATGTTTAAAAAAAGGAAAATTATAAAATAAGCACAGGGCTCTCAAGCGATTGGCATCTGATTTATATGGCAAACAAATTTGGGATGGGAATGGGAATAAGCGCGTTTTTGTGCCCATTACGACATGTACTAAAAACAGCTGAGAAATTCCAAAAGTTTTATTCACTCCGCGCCGTTTCTTTTCGTTTCGTTTCGACTGTTTAGATTCCCAGTTCGATTTTCGGCATTCGAATGGAATTTTTATACTCACCCAAAAATGGAAAACAAAAACTGAGCGAAAACCGAGAAAAGTTTTGGGCTAACAACAAAGTTGTAAACAAGAATCCGACTGGGCGGGCATAGAAATGGAAAAAAATTAAATAGAAGAATTAAAAAAAAACAGAAACAGAAGCAGAAATGGTAAACAAAAGGCGCTGCTCAAGTGCCCATTTGCAATGGGTTAATTATATATATATCGGCCGATCTGTATATAGCCTCTTTAGCGAATCGCTAATCAGCAGATCTCTGACGAAGTTTTATTTTTAAAGAGCCAAGAGCCAAATGCTAAGCCATCCCATTCAAGAGATTCATTTGGGTTTACCACACTTAATTACTCGATGCGAATTAATCATTTCATCGCTTTTTCGGATATAGCAATAGCATTTGCCCTCCTAATGATTAGGGATGGTGGGTGGTAGGTTTTTGGGTGGTATTTGTCAATAGTTCGGCTTTGGCTGTTTGAACTGCCGCTGACAAGAGGTCCGAATACAAATGAAAATAAATGCGATGCGAAATGGTTAATGCCCATGCGTTCGCCTTCGATGGGTCAGGGGTCATGTGACACACAGGGTCGGGGGAAGTCCTGGCGAAATTAAGCGGTTTCTGGGCTGCTTTTGGTGCACAGGGAGAAAATATCGCAGGAGTTTGAGATTAAACAAGAAAAAACTTAACAAAAGGTCTAAAAGTAGAGGATTTCAACGAATTACATTTTTACTGCATACTTTTGGACACCTTTTTGAATGTTTTGAAAACCACTGTGATTTCTGATAAAATTATCATGTAAACAGAAAAAAATATATTTTGAGTAGAGAATTTAAATAAATTAACTTTTTCACTGCATACTTTTGGACACCTTTTTGAGTGTTTTGAAAACCACTGTGATTTCTGATAGAATTATCATGCAAAAAGGAATCTTTAGAGAATTTCTCTCTCTGCACCACTCTGCCGATTTGCCTTATTGCTTCTATTTGCCTTTCCTTTTTTTATCTGTCCCTCTCAGTTAGGCTTCAATCAGGGAATTACGCTAGCCATTTTTCATTTTTCCACTCGGCAGGGTCAGAGGTCACATCACTCGCACACAGACAGACAGACAGTCAACACATATGTAAATGCCGTTGTTTTATCTGGTATTCCTATTTGTTTTACCAACCAAAAGCCAAGAAACCCAGTCCGATTTGTGTCCCTTTTTTTTTGACCTAGATTAAAGCTACGCATAATATTAATTAGATGACCTTTTTTTTTTGCATTAAATGTATTCCCAAGGCCAGTGAGGTTTTCTATAATATAATGGGAAATCTTTTAAGAAATGAAAAATAATATAAAATGCAAATGACATGGGAATACCCCACATATTTCCAAGCGATGTTTGGCTCACGAACCGGTTGACTAGATCATCGAAATGCATCGATAAATGCAAAGCACAACCACAGATACAGATACAAAATACTTGTTGCTTTGCGGATGTCAAAACAAAAGTCGCAAAATTATAGACAAACTTTATTTCGTCACAACTAAAGATAAAGATATCCACAGATAAGGATCGTTGAGCATGGAGGAAGACTACTATATGATCCTGGGCGTATCCCAGGACGCCACCGAGGGGGAGATCAGGCAGGCCTACAAGCGAATGGCGCTCATCTACCATCCGGATAAGAATCAGCATCCCCAGACGGTGGCGCACTTCCGGAAGATAAAAGAGGCATTCGACGTCCTGTCGGTTGAGTCACTTAGGAACGCATACGATCGCGCCTTGCATCGTAGATCATCGAATACGAATAGTATTCCAAGGCCTGCAGGCACCCATCCCAATTACCAAAGTCAGCAGACCAACCAGGTGGAATCTCCCGATTTGCTGCCCATTATATGTGCCGTTGGCGGTGCACTGGTGGGTCTCTTCATGGGATTCAGTGCTTTCAAGGCGTTCAACTCGTCGACTGGAAATAACTAAGTGAAACCCCAGTTCTACACCCGAATTATATCGGCATATTGGCAATATAGACTTATAAAAATTAATCAAAAAAATTAATCATTACTAAATAACAAATATATCATGTAATGTTAATGAAATTCGGTTTTATAAAAGCATTATAGAAGTAATTCGCAACCAAATATGTGTTATTTTGTGCCTTACGAAATTGTGGGATTCCCCCTTTTCATTTTCTTATCAGAACCAGTTCGTAATGGGTTCTTCACATTGCTTTCACTGAAGCTTTTTTTTCAACGATTTTACAACTTTTTAATGACAAATTTAATCAGTAATAATGTAATAAAAATATTTGCAGAAACTAATTGACAAAATATTAATAATATCACTAAATAAAATTTAAAATTAATTAAAATATTGTTCATTGATTTTTATATGTTTAAACATAGTTGAACTTTATACATATAATGTTTAAGGCTAACGTCCCATTGACCCGTCAATAAATAAAACAGTTAATGCAATGTCATGGAACTATAGATTTCTAAAGAACACTCCCTGGTGTCAATAAGTATTGCCTCCTTTACGTTGAATCGTAGACAAGCTCGGAATATATGATTCAAGTTGGCCCGAAAGTTTCAAAAGTTATTGGGTGCGAAAAGTTTTCGAATAGCAAGGAAAACTTTCCTGAATTGCGACTTGACTTAATTCTCTTATCTGGTTCATTGATGATTGTTTTATTTTGGAAATTTAAGTATTTGCCAACTAGTAATCGAAAGAAAAATTAGTTAGATGAATGTAATAATGTATTGTAAACTTTTGAATGGATTTTTTAAATATAAACCTTCTAAAGGGCGATGCTATTATCTCCCCTAATAAATCCCAAATAAAACCGTTGAAACAAAACGTTTCGTTTTCTTTGAAGGCTTAATGTGTTCGCACTTCATTAGCGAACTGCGTATTTCTGCAGGACCCCTGATCCCTGGGGATTTCGTTTGGGCACCCAAATAAGGAATCGAATCATTCGCACTTCAATCATACATATAAGTAACCGCCCCTTGGCAATCACTTTTCGTTTCGGGGATTCCCAGACCTCCTGTTTTATTTTTTCGGTTTTTTCGTTTTTGGCAATCACTCAGACCGTTTCACATGTCCATGTGTTCATTTCGGATCCGGAGTAAGATGCCTTAACGGCTGAACCACCACTGAACCACTTGCGAGCGAACCCTAATGAGGCATAACCTTTATGGCGGGCACTGTCATTGCCGCTGCCCTGGACAATTCAATTATGCGACGCCTCAAAAATAACACCACAAAATTATATGGATTACTTGATCAACTTAAAAGCTCCGCAGTAGCTGGACCAGGACCGAAACTTGATAGCGGGGGCCTTCAATTCATTGGCCCCCTGAACATTGGACATCGGGCATCGGGGGCATCGATTAGCGTCGGCCGGATAATGATACGGATATGGATACGGATGCGAAGCCTATAGATGCTTAGCAATATTAAGGCACTCGAAAAAAAAAATAAAATAGGAATGGACTTTAAAAAAATGTATAATAATAACTAGTTATAAATTTCAAAATAGTAATAGTAATTGCATTCAGAGACAAAACATTTTTATTTAAATATTTTACATTTAATTCTACAAAATATTCAAACGTTTTCATAATATTTTAAAAACAGAAACAACTGAAATCACTTTTAAATATAAAAATAGGTGTCTAAAAGTATGCAACAATATATTTTTATTTTTAAAGTATTATGAATTCATACAGGAAAACTTCTATCCTCTATTCACTGCATACTTTTAGACACACATTTTGACATTTAAAAGTGAGTTCATAATTCGGTTCAAAAAACATGTTTTTCTGAGTGCTTTGACTAGATGTTAATGGATCCGCTGCAGTGCAGCCACCCACACGCGGACCAAGTGAAACTGTAGAACCCCGGCCCATAAATAACGATTGCCGGCCGTATTCAAATTACCTAAAAGCGGAATATCGGAGAGTTGGGTGCGAACGGGAATAGATGTGGGGATTATTACTCCAGACCCCTGAGCCCAACATCCCAATATCCAAACATCCCCCCATATTTTCGGGTTGAACTTGGCCGCCAGCGACAAGTTCCTAAGTGGAAAATCGGTGGAGCGGTCTCCACTTACGTTTCACATATTCCCCGTTCTGTTTGTGTTTGTGTGTGCCAAGGGTCATGAAAAATCGTGGAAAACTGGCGAAGGCGGGAAGAAAAGGAGTTAGTGGGCGGCAGCATCGCACATTTCCCATTTTTGCACTTTTTCGGCTGCCTGAGTTACAATTTGTTTTTTCCGCTTCTCCGGCAATTGTCAGTATTTCTTTTTGTTTTTATTAAGCTTAAGCTTTGTAACTAGGATTAAGTCTTACGAAAGGTACAAGAGCCTTTTTTTGAAATATTCATAATTAACATTGGGCCATTTGTTAACTAGAATTTCACATCTCTCTCCTTTTTCTTCGGAAAATTCATGACGTAATCCCTTTTGTGCGAGGGAAATGTTTAAATTTCGTTAATGAGTGGGCATTTAAATTATAATTCCAAAAGGCAAGGCGCCAGAATGTAGCGGCTTCTTCAGAACCCAATAAAATATTTGTAATAACTTGATTTTTGAAGACTTTTATGAACATCATTTAAACATTAAAATTTAAATAATAAATGAATATAGTTACCTGAATTAAATACTAAAAAAGGCAATTTTTAATTCGAATTATTAAAATGTATTGAATCCAAACTAAATACCCTCATTAAGTATTTGGGGCATTTAAATTATAATTCCAAAAGGCAAGGCGAGAGAATGTTTGCGGCTTCTTCAAAAGCTAATATAATATTTGTAATAACTCGATTTTTAAATAAATCGAAATAATAAATGAATACCTTAGTTACCTGATATAAATACGAAAAAAGAGAATTTTTAATGCTAATTTTTAAAATGTATTGAATCCAAACTAAATACCCTGATTAAGTAATCCGCCAGCTAAGCTCATTGCGAGTACCGAAAATCTAATAATTACCCAGAGCAGCTCACGCAAATAGTTTTGCCACAATTCCCGCGGGGGGTGGGTAAAAGTGGAGACAATCTGCGCCACATAATTGACACATTCCACTTGTTTTTCGTGGGCCATTAAAAGATGTGGCTTGGTACGAATAATCCCCGTAGCCATGGCGCTCTATATGCTATATGCTATATAGTGCGGTGGACGGATTTGTCTAAGCTGCCAAAGCAGTTACAACTAATAACACAACTTTCGGGCATTCGAGCGTTGTCAGGTCAGCGCCCATTTTTCTGGCCACAGGAACCACAAGGGCCACCCTGAACCACCCTAGATCAACCACTAGCACACCACCTTTCCCATCCCAGAGCTTACCCTTCGCCTAGGCATTTGCAATTCATTCGGGCTCATAAATCTAAACGGCACCACGCACTTACACTTAATGACATTTTATTACAAAAATTTAACGCAGACCCATCGACAGAGATGGAAATAGATATTTCCAGCTTCATCGGCAGAGGAGCGAAGGAGAAGGGGACGCGAAAATCCAGTGTAGTCATTGGGGCGCTGGCTCCATTTTAATAACATAAATTAATATGCAAATTGGAACAGAATTTTAATTGAAAATCGTTTCGGGTTCGGTAAAAATACATTTTGGCCACGGGCTTTTCGGTTCATTTTCGAACTGACAAACCGTATTCATGTCAATCATCGAAATTTTGATTGGAGTGGCATTTCAATTTTGCTAAATATTTGTTGTTTTTAAAAATCTTGCCTTAAATTTGTTTGCATAAAATTGGTATCAAAACATAATTTATTTTTATAAAATTCTAAACAATTAAGTATTATAGGTACTCAATGTATATATTCTTATATCAATAAATGCCCCCTTTTGTTGAAAAATCTGGCCACGCCCCTGCAACACACGTAAAACCAAAACTTTCGTCCTGTAAATGCATTTATTTTATTCCCCGAGAAATTTCTGTTTCACGAAGCGCAAACTTTGTTGTAGAACTTCTTCCTGCCCTTTGAACTTTGTCAAACATTCAGCTCTTTCATCATTTCTGCATCTTTTCATCTGGATATAACTGGCATAACTTGGCTTTAAAATTCTTAATTTTGTCGAAAACTAAGGTTTTTTTTTTTTTTAATGACGCTACGCTCGGATTTGAATAGTTATTACAATAAAAAAATGTAAAGCCTCTATCGATTTAATATTGAAGCTTTTTCAATGCGGTACTCTTAATTTTCGAGCAGTAATGTTATTATTTTAACTTTATAAGCACGAAATTACAATAAAAGAATACTCGTTATCTATGTGGTTTTTTGGCCTGTTTTTGCCAACAAAAATTCCCTAAAATCACATATTTTATTTACAAATCTCGGAATTTCCCATTATTATTATCCATGGATAATATCCACCTAACGATCCGAAATCCCCGACACTCGCTTGTCCACAGATGGTCAATATCTCTTGGCCGGGTTTATTATTTCGATTCGCGTTAAAATGCCACACAAACAATGCGGATAAAGTAGATAAAAACATATACACATGGTAATGGGGATCCGAGGGATATCTGTATCTGGCATCTATAACTGCATCGATAAATATACAAGACGGGGCACAAAAAATAGAAAAACAAAAAGGGAACTGTTTATTTTTCCGGGACGTACGCATGATCGCTATTGACATCCAGGGAGTTCTCCGCTCTTCCGCCGATTTAACGGGTAATAAACAATATTTAATTATAGACTTCGATGGGCACGGCAAAAAAAAGGCAAAAAAAAAATACAACTTCGCCGCACTTCAATGTGAGATCGTTCGGGGATCCAAAAATATACAAGTAGATCACTCGACTTTCAGTCGACCCGATTTTCAGTCCGCGGTGCCGCGCGTTCGGTGCCAACGATAACAAACAACTGAGCTGAAAAAAGCCGAGCGCCTGCAACATGTGGCATGCGGCTTTTCCAGGTGCCCCGCCCACTGGCGCCGCCCGCCTTCTCGCCCACTTTCCACCCACCGCACTCATTCACCGAACCGGCTGGCAATTTATGAATGAAAAGCCCAAAGCTCCGGCGAAGAGCTCCCCAAGTTCAAGGTGAAAAGCCCTTGGGGTAAAAGCGCGTTGGAAAAGCTCAGGAATAGGAACTAAACTAAAAGTGTAAAAGTTAAAAATCAACACCACAAATTAACCTGGATAAACTAAATCAATTGCCATTATAAATTATTGTAAAGTTCTTAAAACAAATTGCTGTAACTTGGCCAAAAATGATCCTACACCAAAAATAAACACTGTTTTGAACAGATAACTAAATAATAAATAAATCCATGACACTTTCAGAGTGATCTTAAAAAAATAAATTTTTTTTAAATTTTCAATTTTTTTATAAGGGGGTACCTCATAATTTTTTACGAAAAATGGCAAAAAAATAAAATGTCCAGGTTTAAATGCCAATCGACAGTAAATTCAATAACGAGTTCGGAAAGGTATGACAATCCATATTTGGAACAATATTTTCTTTGTTACGGTCAAAAAACGAATTATTTTTTTGTGAAAAATTGGAATCTTGGTTTTTGGTAAAAATTTGAATTTTTTTCTGTTTGTTTTTTTGCTGTAACTTGGCCAAAAATGGTCCTACACCAAAAATAAATACTGTTTTGAACAGATAACTAAATAATAAATAAATCCATGACACTTTCCGGGGGATCTTGTTAAAATAAAATTTTTGCAAATTTTCAATTTTTTTATAAGGGGGTACCTCATGATTTTTTGCGAAAAATGTCAAAAAAAATAAAATGTCCAGGTTTAAATGCCAATCAATTGGAAATTTAACAACGAGTTCATTAAGGTATGACAATCCATATTTGGATCAATATTTCCATTGTTGTGGTAAAAAAACGAATTATTTTTTTGTCAAAAATTGGAATCTTGGTTTTTCACATTTTAAAATAAGTTTTGGGCATTATTAAGCCATATAATATTCCTTGGTACTGTTATAATTTTTTTTTTTAACTTTTTATTTTAACTCAAACGGATATATGCAAAATTTTAAACTTATGCCAACTAAAATTGGTATTAAACATGAACAAAATATGAAGTGAATTCGGTGTTTACAGGGATTGGTTGACGGTGTTCGCTGCTTCTTGGTTCCATTTCGCACAATGAGGGAAACAAGGACTAAACCTCCGACTTGGAGGAGCGACGAGTGCGCGGACGCAGTTCCCGATTCCTGGTGCTGCTGGCGGCAGGGGCCTCTGTTGCAGCGCCTTTAGAGGACTGATCGCTCAGATCGGAGATGCGTCGTCTGGCGGTGCGACGCAGCCGGGGCCGCTCCTCCTCCTCGTGCTGCTGCTCCGCCTCCTCCTCCTCTTTAACCACTAAAGGAACCTCCTCCTTCGAAACACTTGGCGATTGCTCCGAAGTCGCACTCGTTCTGCGCGTCTTCCTTTGTTTGCGCAGGGGCTGTACTGCAGCAGCGGGCGGTTCACTGTTGCCTCGCACGGATCGCCGGACACTCGGACTCTCGGTGGCGGGTGCCAGCGAGGTGGCCCGCTTGTCGCGCGCCCTTTGTGTGGGCGTGGCCTCCGAGTCCACGCTGAGCCGCGAACGCGAACGGGTGCGCGGCAGCGAAGCGTCCAAGGAGCCCTGCTCGTCGATCACCTCCAGCAGATGCTTGTGCTGCATCGTGCGGCGCTTGGGCGTGGCGACGGCGGGCGAGGAGACAGCGGGCGAAGATACGGCATCATTGCTACGCAGCCGCATCCTTCGGCCGGCGGCCAAGGGAGCCGGGCTGTCCTGGTGCTCCATGGAGGAGCGACGCGATCGCAGGGGCCGCGGACTGTCGCGATGCTCCGAGGAGCCGCGTCGCGGGCGCAGGGAACGTAGTGGTGCCGGTTCCTCCTCCCCAGAAGCAGCTACTTCTACTTGATCCTCCTCCTTAGCTGGAGTGGCTGCTACTTGATCTTCATCCTTAGAGGCAGCTGCTTCTGTTTGCTCTTCATCCTTAGAGGCAGCTGCTTCTACTTGATCCTCCTCCTTAGAAGCAGCTACTTCCATTTGCTCCTCCTTCTTAGAAGCAGCTACTTCTACTTGATCCTCCTCCTCAGCCGGAGTAACTTCCACGGGCTGCTCCTCCTCATCATCGGATAATATCAGCGTTAGACTCTGCCTGGAATCCTCTTCCTGGATTGCCAGTCTCTCTGGTTCCTCCTCCTCTTCGGGAATCTCCTCCAGCTGCTTTTCCTCCACCGCCACATCTATCTCCATATCCTGCTTGGTCTCGCTGAAAGCCACCGTGGCCACCGAATCATTGCTGCCTGCCTCCTCTTCCATCAGCAACACTTCCTGTTGCTTCTGCTGCTCCTCCTTCTTCTCCTCCTCCTCATCGCTGTCCAGCACAATAGTATCGGCCACCTCGGAATCGCTGTTCACAGTGGCGCCCATGGAAAGCGAGGGACATGGCACACCACTAGCCACTCCCTCTTCCTGCTCCTTGAAGGCAAACAACTCGGCACTGCTACAGGCCACTGTTTGCTGGGGACGCGCCACATAGCCGCGCACCTCGGTGCCATCGAGTGCGATGACGCAGTCGTCGTCCTCGTCGTACTCCTCCTCCTCCTCCAGCGAGCCCTTCGTCGTGTCCAGATCGTCGACCGTCTCCAAACTATTGGCGCGATATAATGAGATGGGTGAGCCGCCGTCTTTGCCATCATCTCCTTCATTTCCCGCCTCCCTGGGACTCGAGGTCTGCGAAACATTCGTGTCGCTGGGCAGGAAGGAGGTGGGCGTATGCGTAACCGAACGCGAGGTGGTAATGGAGCCCGTCGACTCCACGACAATGGAGTACATGGGATCATCGGTGTGGAGAGGCGGCGGCACCAGGGGATTCCTTAGGCCAGCCGAGGAGGAGAGGTCGGACTCCTCGCTACTTAAACTATAAGTGGGCGAGGAGAGGGGCTCCTGGTATTGCTGCTCCTCCTGCTGCAGATTCTCTTGTTGCGTTGCATCCTCCAGCTTAAGTTCCTCCTCCTCCTCCTGATTCTCCGGCTGCTGCTGCTCCAGCGAAGCCACCTCGTAGGTGGACATGCCCAGCGTGGTGTCCATCATCCGGTGGCCACTTTGGATAGCAGGAATCTCTGCTGCTGACCACTGCGAACTGCGTGCGCCTGTTACCTCCGCTGAACCCAAATCCGTTGACTCCATTTCACCGCAGATGGTGGTGCGTTCGGATATCCTAACCACGCGGCTGCCGCTGGAGAAGATTTGCGTTGACTCGCCCATTTTGGAGGAGCAGACGGTGGGCACGAAATGCGAGTGGGATGTGGTCTGACTTGGAGCCACTGCGGTGGCAAAGCTGCCGAATCCGCTGCTGCTTTCGCTGCCATTTCTACTTTCGCCCGTTCTTCCCTGGAGCAGCGAGCCACGTGGCTGGGGGCCAGTTGGAGGACGCTGCTCCACCAGCGAGACATTGGCAGAGGCCAAGGGGGAAAGGAACTCCTCTTCCTCCTCCGACGAATCAACGTTTCCCGGCTCCTCGCTTCTTGATTCGATCTCCACGATAATCTCGTCGGTTTCCTCCTCCTCCTCCTCCTGGATCTCCTCCTCCTCGCTGCTCCTGCTCCTGTCCACCTCCATGGAGCCATCTAAACGCAGCGGAATCGGCGGCATAAAGCGGAATCTCTTAGTTCCGCCCAGAGTAGTGGATGTGGCCACCGGCGGAGCTCCCTCCAAAGTCGATTTACGCTTGAGTATGGTGAGTATTGCCTGTGGCGAGCTGCTCCTCTCTCTTGTTCGCTGCGTCTGCAGGAAAGTCGGCGGCTGCAGCAGATCGCTGGCTTGGTTATCCAACTCCTCCAGCTCCTTAACCTCCTCCCGCAGCGACTGCACATGGCCCTTGACCTCCTCCACCAGCTGCTCAGCCAGCAAACGCCGCCTCTTGCGTGGTTGCAACGTATATTGCTGCCTGCGTTCCCGCTCCTCGCGTCGCTGCTCCTCCTCCTCGCGCTGCCGCTTCTCCACCGCCTGATGGGGCACAGGACGCACCTTCCTTCGCCGATGAGGCAGCTCAGCGAGTCCATATTGCGCATGCCGCAGGAAGGGAATGTTGCTGTAGCAGCCCAGTTTCGGTGGCAACGCAGGAAGCGACGCCTCCTCGAAATGCGTGGCCCAATGGGCGCTGACCGCCGAGCTCTGGAAGATGCCGCCCACCTGGCCGCTGGCATTCTGCTTGACCAACTGGCAGCTGAAGGGCTGCAGCGGATTACGGCCCTCCTCCATTTCGAGGGTGTCGCGTATGCGCAGATAGGTTCCCGCAATATTCTGGGCCACTGGCGCCATGGTCGATCGATAGGCGGAGATAATCGTGCTGCTGGAGGAGTCATCCTCGCGTTCCCTCTCCTCAGCCACCTCATCCATAAAGGACACAGCCTCGATGAACTTGCTCTTCTGCAGCAGCAGGATCAACTGCACGCAGTCCGTTTGCCGCGAGCGACTCTGTCGCAGCATCCTGTAGAGCATCCTCTCCTCCTCTTCGCTCAGGCAAAGCTCGGCGAGCACCTTGAAGCGTCCGCGGGCAATGCAGTGGCGGAAGAAGCGCTCCAGCAGCGGCTGACCCTGGTCGTCGTCGTATAAACGGGCCATTAGAAAGGCCTCCGGCATGCTGCCATTAGCCAGGAGCACGTTCATGTGCAGCTCGGAGGATAAAGGACCAGGTGGCTGGCTAACCACACGCATGGCCGCCTTGATGGCGCCTCCATTTAGCAGTGTTTCCAGCAGCAGACGCATCTGCCAGGGCTCAAATTTGCTGGCGGGAAAGGGATCCTTGTACAGCTCAACAACGCATTGCTGTAAAAATATATATAATTAAAGGGGAATTTACATATAGGAAAAATAAAAATTCAATTTTTTTTATTACTTAAATTGGTAGAATAACTCTTTAAAAATGTGTCATGAAAGTTTCACGAAGAAATTCGAACTATTTTGGAACTTATAACAGGATTACGGCACCCATCATTCATATGCAGTAGATATTTCATTTCATTTTCCTCAACTGCGGATCGTGTATCTCAAAAAGTAATGCCTCGATCATTATGCTGCTTTTATAGAAATGTTTCTAATGAAACTGCCCACTGTCTGAACCTGCTAAATGTATAAATTTGCAAGTTTAAGTATTTTTTGTTAGCCAAAAACCACAAAAAAAATATGGAAAAAATAGATTTTTGACTTTGAAATAGTGCCACACAAGAGTTTTAGACATATTCTATGTAAGTTAGGTTCAGACAGTTTCTACATTATTTCTTAACAAAATAAACTTGGTTTCATAAAAATCGGATCTACACTGGCCTACTTTTTGTTTAATATAGCCTGACAAAAAAATTCTTACAGCCGTCATTTTAAAAGATAAAAAAAGAATTAAAATTGGTTTAAATTATATAAGAACAATGTAATCAACATGCCAAGTTGCGAAAATCCAGCACAATTCCTTATTGGTTAAAAAAAAATTAAAGAATAGCATAAAGAATAGCTACTTAAAACCATTAATTACCTCGTAATCCCCGCTGTCCAGGCACCAAAACGAACGCACCGCCTTGGCCAGCTCCTCTTTCACTTGGAAAGCCGTCTGAAATCGCCGGAATAGCCTTGCATCCAGATCCATCAGCAGGTACAGGATGAGCGCCTGTTTGTTTCCCACTTCCGTCTGCGGATCGAGCATCACGTGCAGCAGAGAATGCAGCGATTCCGGCGGATAAGAGGCCTCTCCGGAAAGCGAGGCCATTTCAGCCAGCCGATCGATGTAGAGCTTCCTGCCCAGCGCCCTTCGCTCGGCGTAAATGTGACGGAGGAGCACTAAAGGCTTCTCCTGGTGATGCTCCTGCTGACCCTCCGGCAAAAGACCATGCTCTATAAACCAATAGAGCACCCTTTGGTACTGATGCACCGTCTGCAGCGCTCGTTCGTTCGCCTGGCACTCAGTTAGCATGGAAGGAGCAAGCCTTCTTCGTCCCAGCTCCACTATGTAGGATTGCAGGCGCACCAGCTCGCGCAGCTGGCCGGAGAGCACCTGGAACTCGCGACGCTCCCGCTCGTCCAGCGAATAGCCGCCGTAGTCGAAGATCCCTTGGCAGAGTTCCGAGCAGCGCCGCTTAATCTGCCCCGCGCGCCTCACAATCCAGTTGGTCAACGTCGAAAGCGAGAGCTCCGTGGGATCGATCATGTTGCACATAAAGCTGCCATCCAGCCAGCTCCTCGCACAATCGTTCAGCAAGGCAATGCACTGGTGTTCCAGGGCCACCGAGAGTATCACCTCGTACATGGCCGTCTTGGAGAAGGTGGCATCGGGATGCAGCTCACAGAATTGCGGCAGCAATCGCAGGCGAACAATGTCCTCGTGATAGGATTGCGGTCGCAAAAAGAGCGTGGCGCGCTCCCAGCGCAGGGCGTTCAAAAAGCGATGCTGCACGCCATCCTGCGCGTAATATCTGCTGCCATTTGGAGTGAGCAGCGTGCAATCGAAGGTCAGCGAATCGGGATAGAAGTGCTCATCGTAGCGCTGCAGGGAGACAAAGTGCATGATGCTATTGGCGCGCAGCTGTAGACTTAATCCTTTAGGTATTCCACTTAAAACATAGCCGGCCAGATAATGCGGCGTCTCGTGGCTGCGCACGCAGGGCGGCATCTCCTCCTTGTACCACTGATTAATGTCGAATAGGACCAGCTTGTTTTTCCCCTCGCTGGCCGAATGCCAGGAGATGATGACCAGCAGAGTGCCGCTGTCACCGGCAAAGCTGAAAGTGGAGGCTGTGAAGCAGGCGTTCACCGAGCAACCGCCGCTTCCCCGCTCGAAAATCTGATGGTTGCGCACCGAACTGGAGTGAAAGTGCTCGAAGCGGAGCATGTCGTTCGGTTCCACGTAGGAGCGGCGGTAGCTCACCGAATGCAGCAGCATATTAAGGCCTTCGGTGGATTGGTACAAGGCGCATATGTAGAAGCAGGGCTTTGGGTCGTCGGGCGGCATGATGAGGCACATACTCTGGACGGCGCCACGCCAGCGATCCTTTTTGCCCGGCGGCTGCAGGGCGGTGGTCACATGGAACTGCACCAGGTCGTAGATCAAAACGCGACCATCCTCGAGACCGGCGGCAAATCCGGGAGCCAAACTGATGCCCATCAGGCACTGGATGCCGCTGGTGGCCACTGAAAGGGAGTTTAGAGAATTAGCAGGGTTTTCCCTTTAAAGTAATCCACTCACCATCCAATCGCACAGCCAAATGTTCGCCCTTTTCCCGACAATCGCTTAGGATAGAGTCTATTTGCGTTCCCAACTCCTCGCTGGGGAAGCTGTACAGCTGCCCGTGGGAGGGATCCAGCTCAGAACCACCTCTGTGCCTCTCCAGCAGGCTGTCCGCATTGAGATCGACCAGCAGAACGATGCCCTCTTGGGTGGAAATGGCCAAACAGCCGTCGAACTTAGAGAGTCGCGTGCCCCCGCAGATGCGCTGGTCCAGAAAGGTCAGCGCGGTGCAGTAGAGGTTATCGGGGAGGTCAAACCGTCGCAGCACCTTGCTGCCCGGAATGGAATAGATGAGCACCTGCGTCCTGGCCAGCGAGCAGTTTTCAGGGCGTCTTTCCCGGCTGTCCCACGATTCCAGGCAGATGGCCAGCAGGGCAGTGCGTTCCGGTTCGCCCGGGTGGAGCTCCTCCACGCAGCGGATGCTGGTGCGAAGTTGATCTCCCGATTCATCCGCAGAATCGCTGCTCCAGAAGCGATGATACGACACATAGTCGCCGGTGGTCATGCTGCAAACGAGGATGGTGGCGTCGCTGCCATAGCGCCAGGTCACCCAGCCCAGCTGACCGTTGCGTATGATGCCGCCGAGGTATTCTGGAGGGGATTACCTTGGTTAATATATGGAAATCCCACGCCGGCGGAGGAGAAAAACTCACCGGAATCCTGCAGATCCTGGCCAAAACCAGGTACCGCGCGCTCCGGGAAGGCCGCCGAGCGGCTGCCGTCCAGCTCCACTTCGTGCCACTCCATGGGATGGCTAGTTCATCCGTTGACCAGGAGGATTCCTTTGAAAGATTCGCGCAAAAAATAAAACACCGATTATTCCGAGTGACTGAGTGTGTGTGAGAGAGGGGAGACTGTGTGTGAGCTAGCCGGCGTTGCCGCTTCGATTTGATTTGACATTTCAAACGGTTGTTTTGTTTGCACGCTTTTTGGGCAGTGTTGGGAAACGTCTGCAGGGGGATTCGCAAGTTCATTAGATACAATTAAATATTTGGTTTTTTCTATAAATTATCAGTAATTTTAATTAAATTATTAAATATTTTATTTATCTATTTTATTTAGAGTGACTCCAGCAAAAATTGTTGTTAAACGTCTGCGGGAGATTCGCAAGTTGATTATTTATAATTAATTATTTGGTTTTTCCCTCAAATTATTTGTAATTTTCATTAAAATAATAAATATTTAAATTTATCAAGTTTATTTAACAAGTGACCTCAGAAAAAGTTGTTTTGTTTGCACGCTTTTTGGGCAGTGTTGGGAAACGTCTGCAGGGGGATTCGCAAGTTCATTAGATATAATTAAATATTTGGTTTTTTCTATAAATTATCAGTAATTTTAATTAAATTATTAAATATTTAATTTATCTATTTTATTTAGAGTGACTCCAGCAAAAATTGTTGTTAAACGTCTGCGGGAGATTCGCAAGTTCATTATTTATAATTAATTATTTGGTTTTTCCCTCAAATTATTTGTAATTTTCATTAAAAAAATAAATATTTAAATTTATCAAGTTTATTTAACAAGTGACCTCAGAAAAAGTTGTTTTGTTTGCACGCTTTTTAGGCAGTGTTGTGAAACGTCTACGGGGATTAGCAAGTCTATTAATTATAATTAGTTATTTAATTTTTCCCATAAATTATCAGTAATTTAAATTAATTTATTAGTTTTATAAATTTATCAAGTTTATTTAGAGTGCCTCCAGTGCCGGCAATACTCCAACAGTCTGGCAACCCCACAGGATTGCGAAAATATCGCGCGAGTTTCGTAAGAAATTTCGCCGGTTCGCCAGGGTAAACAGTTTAACCCAAAGACAGCCTTAAGTGCAAATAGAAGGCGTTGCATTTAACTCATTTACATAGTTATAAAGCCCAGTAAAAGTCGCCCAGTTAGTGCCCTGCAGATCTGGCAACTTCCGCGCGCCGCCTGTCAACCCTGTCAACCCGTGCGATTTGTGCCTGCACATTGTTCTAAAACAACCCAGCCGGAAAAGCCGTTTTAGCAGCGGGCCCTTAATCTATATGCTCCTCAGATGTGAGACACCCCCTCGCGCGGCTGTGTTCTCCAGGCAATAGGCGCTACCGAGGGTGAAGGATTACTATTTCCAGCAGCATTAATCCCGACCAGAACTCTCGAGCATTTCGCATTTCGCACACACACACACACGCACGCACACTTGGATAGCGCTCCTAATCTTTGGCAACGGGGATCGAGAGGCTAGGCGAGAAGAGGTGAGTGGGGGGGGGGTGGGCCAAACATGTGCTCTCTTTTGCCTGCCGAATACATCAGGATATCCTCCTTCCACAGGCAGCAGGAGGAGTAGCAGCAGCCAGGAGATGGCCCAGCTTGGAGGCACCGAGGCTCTGGCCGCCGAACTGGCCACCGCCGTGGATCTAATCATGCATCCGCACACCCAGCAGCAGGCGCGTCTGGAGGCCTACATGGCCTGCGAGCGCTTCAAGGAGGAGTCGCCGCTGTGCGCCCAGGTGGGCCTATTCCTGGCCAGCTCGCCGCAGTCCAATCAGCAGGTGCGTCACTTTGGCCTCCAGCTGATCGAGTACACAATCAAGTTTCGCTGGAACTGCATTACGCACGAGGAGAAGGTGTATATCAAGGACAATGCCATCAAGATGCTGAATGTGGGCGTGGGTCCCGCGGAGGATCGCACCCTGCTGCCCACCAAGGATGCCCTGTCCCGGATCATTGTGGAGATGATCAAGCGCGAGTGGCCGCAGCAGTGGTCCGATTTGCTGCCCGAATTGAGTCAAGCTTGTACTAAAGGAGAAGCCCAAACGGAACTCGTTCTCCTGGTCTTCCTGCGCCTCGTGGAGGATGTGGCTCTCCTCCAGACCATCGAATCCAATCAGCGACGCAAGGACATGTACCAGGCACTCAATAACAACATGAACGACATCTTTGAGTTCTTCCTGCGGCTCGTGGAGCAGCATGTGACCGCCTTTCGGGAGACGAAGGCAAGTGCCCATTCGCGGGTCGTCGAAATGGTGCTGCTCACGCTGAGCGGCTTCGTCGAGTGGGTGAGCATTCAGCACATCATGTCCAGCAACGGCAAGCTGATGCACTTCCTGTGCATTCTGCTCAACGACAAGGCATTCCAGTGCAATGCGGCCGAGTGTCTGGCGCAGATCACGAATCGCAAGGGTCAGGCGAAGGAGAGGAAGCCGCTGCTGCAGCTGTTCAACGAGGAGCCGCTGCGCTACATCTACCAGGCGAGTCAGATTCCACCGGATTCTAGTTCATCCCTGGCCATTGAACAGCATCACAACTTTCTGAAGAAGCTGCTGCAGGTTCTGAACGGCATGGCTCAGCAGTTGGTGGCGCTGTGGGGCAAGGATGATGCCACCCAGCGGCCAGTTCATCTGGAGGTGCTGCTCGAATGCCTCCTGCTGCTCACCCAGCATCCTTCGCTGAGTGTTGCGCACGGAGCGGCGCTCATCTGGCAGCTGCTGCTGAAGCACGAGCCCTGCTCGAAGGATTTCGCGATGGTCAACTACATTCCCAAGCTCATACACACGATTGCGCCGCGTATCGTGAAGCTGCCATATCCTAGCGCCTCCGGGAGCTCCAACAGCCTCTCCACGGAGGCCTACATTCGCCTGGAGTACGACAGCGAGGAGGAGTTCGCTTTGTACTTCTTTCGCTGCCGCACCGACTTCCTGGAGATCTTCCGTTTGGCCACGCTCGTTCAGCCGCTCGTGACCTACGGCTACTGCGAGCAGTGGCTGCAGCAGCGCCTGCGCAACGCCGTCGCCGAGGCGGATGCGGAGGTCAAGAGCGGCAGTGTTTCGTGCAGTGTCCTGGATCCTGTCTACCTCGAATGGGATGCCTTGGTGAGCGTTCTGGATGGCGTTCTCAGTCGCATACTCCTCGTGGCCGAGCGGCCCTCGGTGCCCGCTGGTCTGCGACTGCTGGAGGATTGCCTCAAGCTGGAGACCATCAATCCGCTCATCTACTCCATACTCCTCTCCTGCATTTCGGCGCTCTTTGTCTTTCTCAGCATGTCCGCCTGCCAAATTACGGCCACCAATTGTGTGGCCATGAGTGGCGTAAGTCTACTGCCTCGCGTGCTGGACAAGATATTCAGAGCGTTGGTTTTGAAGCCACCCAATGAACTGGAGAAGGTGCAGGCCAAGTCGGCCAAGAATCTAAGGCGTCATGCTGCCTCGCTGTTGGTCAAACTGGCCCACAAATATCCGCTGCTCCTGCTGCCTGTTTTCGAGCAGATCAACGGGCATGTGGAGCTGCTGCTCAAGGAACCGGGACAGCATCAATTGTGCCGCCTGATGCGCACCACGCTGCAGGAGGCGTTGATACTGATCTCGAATCATTTCTGTGACTTTGAGCGCCAGACGCTCTTCATCGAGCACATTTTGCGGGACAAGCGCACTGAGTGGCTGGCCTTTGGCGAGGCTTTGAAGTCGCCGCTGGACTTTATGAGCTTCGTGGGACTGGACAAGCCGCCCATCTTTGCGGTGGAAGGAGCTCCCTCGCTGCAGAATCGTTCGCGGCTGCTGGATGCTTTGCATGTGGTTTTGGGCGTCGTCAAACGATGCACCTGGCCGGATGATCCGGATCGCGCCCAGCGTGGAGGCTTCGTCATTGGCTGCACGGAACTGGGCAATCCCATTTGCCGCAATCCGGCCACCAAGCATGTGGTGCCGTTGCTCTCACATGTCCTTAGTCTCATGCGAGTGCTAAACGAGCTCTTTGCTCCGGAGGCTTTGCTCGCCCTGTCCGAAGGCTATCGCGGCATCCACGGGATGCTGGAGCACGAGAAGAAGCTGCTGATGGGCATCTGTGCTCTGCCCACCGATCCGCTGGACGCCACAATTCGCAGCGAACCGACGGCGTTCGAAAAGATGCAGACATTCATGATGATGATCACCGAGGGCTGTTACCATCTGATGGGCTCCGCGGGTCCTTCGCTGGGCAGGGATCTCTACCAGCTGCTGGGTCTCTCGGATGCCATTATAACGAATGTTTTTAGCCGCATGGATGTGGTGCCCGACTACCGATTGCGTCCCATCATCCGGGTCTTCTTCAAGCCCTTTGTCTACTCGTGCCCGCCCAGCTTTTATGACAGTGTTTTGGTGCCGCTCTTTGCTCATTTAGCCCCCCTGATGTGCGAAAGGCTGACGCGTCGCTGGATCTACATAGCCTCGCTGTACGAGAGTGGTCAGCTGAATGGCGAGGTCAACGACACGCAGGAGGTGCTGGAGGATCAGCTGAATCGCACGTTGACTCGCGAATACCTGGATGTTTTAAAGATTGCCCTGGTGGGCGGCCAAATTGGAGCGGATCATGTGGCGTCCGGCGCGAATGCCAACAGCCATTCGGTGGCCATGGAGAACGAGGAGCATTCCATGGACAGCGCACCTCAGTCAAGGGCCAGTCAATCTGCCCTGCTTTCCGATATTATAAGCGATCTGGGAGGCAAACTGCTGCGCAACGGACTGATCGGCAACTATGTGCTGATGACCCTGCTAAAGGCGATCGCCTGGAACGATGGAATGTGCAGCATGAAGGCGGTGAATATAGCAGCGCCCGTGATGCGTTTCCTCGCGGCCGAAAAGCTGATGGATGAGAACAAGGCGGTGACCGCTTTTACGGCCGTTCTGCAGGGCATGCAAGTGCATGGACAGCACGAGGCCAATCAGTCGGGACTCGTCACCCTGGGCGTGCAGTTCTACGAGCTGCTGCGTCCCCAGTTCCCGATCCTCAGCGAGGTGTTGCAGCATATTCCCAGTGTAAATGCGGCGGATATACAAAAGTTCGATGAGAAGATCGCCGTGGCGCCGGTGAAGGGAAATAAAGTGGATCGTGCGAAGAAGGATATCTTCAAGAAGCTCACCGTTCAGCTGGTGGGACGCAGCGTGAATCAATTGTTCCGGCACGAAGTGCAGATAGCCAATCTGCCGCCAATGCAGTCGATGCACAAGGGCGCGAAGGGCAGCTCGACGACGAGCGGCGACATCATGGATAGCAATCAGAACGCCAGTCTGGCCAGGCTCTTTGGGGCGGAAAAGTGACAACAGGGAGCGCAGCAGGAGAAGCACAGGAAACCGAGGAGGAGGAGGAGGAGCAACTCGCTCCAGGATCCAGGCGGAGTCGAGACCACGGCCACCTCAGCTGCCAAACTAGCGACGACTGAACTTAAAGTAATTGTAAACTAGCTTAGACGAGTCCTCCTGTCCCCGAAAATCCCAGTCGAAAGTTCCAGTTTGAATCAGATCCTAAAATCTAAACTAATTTATTTATTTTACGAAACTAAATTTAACACACAACCCCGCGCGCATGTAACGATTCTTTATTTTCCGGTCGCTCTCCCTTGTTACTGCTTTGTTATTTATTATTCGGAATTTGTTAAGCTTGTTTTTTTGCACAAAGGAAAAGTAGAACCATCGATAATTGACAATACTCCGACCTTTGATCCTTGATCCTTCCTACGCCACCAGAAGTCCCTTTTTATACATAGTTAATTAATTAATTAATCAATTGTGCTTTTCCCCCCCCGTTTTGTATAGTTACCTATGCGCTGGCATACTGTAATTTATATACATATATATATACGATATGTACACATTTATCCTTTGAAGAAACATTTCTGAAATTACGCTTAGGCTTAGTTGATAGGCAACGAGTTATTATTATATAATACATCAATCTGTATATGAACACACATCCCGCACCGCATATGCATATGCCAATGCCTATGCAATATATACCCAAAACTCCCCAAAAAAAAAAGAAACATCGGGATTCTAAGAATTAAAGTTGCGCGAGTATGTAATATTCAAAGTGAAAATTATGTACTACTATTTATAACTAAATGAAATCGAAGCGGGACGACCCCGCAAAAACACAAAATCGAAATAAGCTAATAAATTTGAAATAAATTTACAAATTCGAAATGAATTCAAAAGAGTGCGTTCTTTAATGGGGCAAATTGATCTAAAACAAATATAGTTTTAGGTAATTATTTTATATTTCATAGTGTTCTAAATTTAAAATAAAATTCTTAGACAAACATATTTTGTTTGAATTTTTTAAAGAATATTTTTAAATTTAAATTCAAATAATATTTTTTTATCAGTGTAAAAAACTTTGCATACGATGGTTATTCAGTGAAAACAGGCTGCAAGCTGGAAATTTACAAATTCGAAATGAATTCAAAATAGAAAATTAACCTGAAATAAAAATACAATTATGGATCTTAAATTAAGTTATATTTAAGTTATTCCAATTTTTGTCAAAAACTGAAATCCTGAATTTCCAAAACAAAAAAAAAACCGGTTTTTTGCTAAAACAAAGCAGTTTTTTTCGCTAAAACAAAGCAAATACTGATTCAAAGTATGGATTGTCATACCTTTCTGAACTCGTTATTAAATTTCCTAACGATTGGCATTTAAACCTTGACCATTAATTTATTTTTAATTTTTCGCAAAAAATCATGATGTACCCCCTTATAAAAAAATTGAAAATTGACGAAAATTTTATTTTTTCAAGATCACCTAGAAAGTGTCATGGATTTATTTATTATTTAGTTATTTGTTCAAAACAGTATTTATTTTTTGTGTAGGACCATTTTTGGCCAAGTTACAGCAAAAAAACCAACAAAAAAAATCCAATTTTTGTCAAAAACTAAAATTCCGATTTTCGAAAAAAAAAACAAAACCGGTTTTTTCGCTAAAACAAAAAAAATACTGATATAAAGTATGGATTGTCATACCTTTCTGAACTCGTTATTAAATTTCCTAACGATTGGCATTTAAACCTTGAGATTTTACTTAATCTTAATTTTTCGCAAAAAATCATGGGGTACCCCCTTATAAAAAAATTAAAAATTGGCGAAAATTTTATTTTTCCAAAATCACACGGGTTATATGGATTTATAGCAAATTTTGTTATCTGTTCAAAACAGTATGTATTTTTGGTGTAGGACCATTTTTGGCCAAGTTACAGCGAAAAAACCAAAAGAAAAAATTCCATTTTGTCAAAAACTGAAATCCCGAATTTCCAAAAAAAAAAGCAAATATATTTTTTTATATTTCTTAAAATGTTCTAAATCCAAAATGAAATTCTTGGAAATACATATTTAGTTTGAAATTTTATAAGAATATTTTTTAAATTAAAGAAATATTTTTTTATCAGTGTAAAAACCTTTGGATGCGATGGCTTTTCAGTGGAAACAGGCTGTAAGCTTAGTTCGCGGTTATCGATAGACGGCAGCTGCTTACCATTTTGGTTTGGCTTGGCCAAAATTAACCGAATAAAATAGAATAATAAATAGTTTAGCCCATCGGTTCCTGGAACAACTAGTAGCCAACATGCCCATCTACGAGAGCGTCATGCAGGAGAAGCCTCCCATTGTCCTGGACATCGGCACCGCCTACACAAAGTGAGCTAGTACAAAAAAACAACTGATTTGCCAGGTGAAGTCATCATTTGACCCCTTTTTTGCAGGCTGGGATTCGCGGCGGAGGCGTATCCGCGGAAGATAATGCCCACGGAGGTGGTGATGACGGCGACGGGGATCAGGAAGCGGCTCCTCGACTACGAGACAACGGAGGAGCTGTACGACCAGCTGGTGGACTTCCTGCAGACGATCTTTTTCAAGTAGAAAAATAGGTTTTCTCTCCTAAAACTGCTGACCTTTTCCCCCTGCTTTTTCAGGCACCTGCTGGTCAGTCCCAAGGAGCGCAAGTTCGTGCTGGTGGAGAATGTATTCGGACCCACAGTTCTACGCGAAACCCTCGCCCGCGTGCTCTTCGTCCACTTCGACGTCTCCTCGGTGCTCTTCGTGCCCGTCCATCTCATCGCCCTGTCCACGCTGGCCGTGCCCACCGCTTTGGTGGTGGACATTGGCTACAGCGAGACCAGCATAATGCCCGTCTTCAGTGGCGTCCAGATCATGGCCGCCTTCAAGGATCAGAGCTACGGGGGACGGGCCATTCATGCGGAGATCAGGCGTCAGTTGGTGGCGACGGGCGTCAAGGAGAGCCTGCTGACGGAGAGCGTGCTGGAGGACATCAAGGTGCGAACGTGCTTCGTGACCACCATGGAAAGAGCCCAAGCCAGAGGAGGAGATACTAAACAGGATAAGCCGACTCCCGCGCCAGCCGTTGATTACATAGTCAGCGACAACGATGCCATCATCCAGGTGCCCGGCGATTTGCGCGAGACGGTCTACGAGATCATGTTTGAGCCGAGCAACGAGCGGGACAGCCTGCCGCACCTCATCCTGCGCTCCATACTCGATTGTACACTCGATGTAAGACGTTCGTTGGTGGAGAGTGTGTTCCTGGTGGGCGGCGGGGCGATGGTTCAGGGTTTGCTGGCCCGACTGCGCCAGGAACTGCAGCATCTGCTGGCCAACGATCCGTTCTACGCCGAACGCTTCCATGGCGAGCTGCAGTTCAAGTTCTTCAATGCCATCGGCAAGCAGAACTTCACCGCCTGGCTGGGCGGCGCCCTCTGCGGAGCCACGGATCTCATCCAGACGAGGTCGCTGGCCAAGGAGACGTATCTGAAGAGCGAGCATGTGCCCGACTGGAGCAACCTGTGCGACAATCGGCCGACGGGATCGTAGACATACTAATTTACTCATGATTGTAATGTATTATATAGGCTTAAAGTATAGAATTTCTAGGCAAACATGTTTTGGAATTAAATTCTCTACATATTTAAATAACTATAGCCACGCCCCCAGTTAAAGGAATGTATTTTTTTGTATGGAAAATCGGTTCAACATTTATTAACAAATGCTTTTTTTTTACAATCTCTTATTAAATAACTTGTTCATGCACTTCAACATCGAGTAATGAATGGAATTGGGAAATTTACAATACGTTTGAAAAAAAATTCTGTAAGAAAGACATTCGCTGAATGCACACATAGTTTCTCTAATCTCTAATATGTCTAATGCATGTTCACTAAACGAAAAAAAACGATTATCAGACGAAGTATGCTATAATGGATGATTTGAATCTGTTTTATAGGGATTGTTCCTCCATTTAAGAGCCCACGATGATGTTGTTGATGGGGATGTGTATCAGCTTGACGAAGAAGCCAATGAAGCCCATGATGCAGAAGCCCACGGCGGTGGCGATGGCGATCTTCTGGAACTCCTTGCGGTCGGGCTTGGTGCATCGCTTGACCAGGCGGATCGAGTCCTTGGCGAAGGCGCGTCCAGGCTCGGCGAACTTAACAACCTTGTCCATGTCGATGGTGCTGAAAGTGGGAGGAGGGGGAGTGGAGAAAGTGGGGGATGAGTATTGTAAGCACTTTCACAGCAACGTCAGCTGTGACGTGGCAATCGCAGGTCGACGTCACAGGTGAAATATCTTCCACTGGTTCAGGGAACTTCTATCTCCTCTTAGATACTTAGTTTTCAAGCCTTAAAATCAGGTCAAAGGTGAGTGATCTTTGTGTATATATTTAATCTTTAATAAACCCGAAATGGGATTAGGTGAAGAATTAAGCAGAAGGCCAAAAACAGATAGGGCAAATCAACCAGGAATATGAAACCTCTGCGGGCCCTTTGTTTATTCACTGGCTATTTTAATTGAGGAATCGCCGCCGAGCAGCTGGAAAACTAGCACACACACTACACACCTCCGGTTCAATTGAAAATTTCCAATCAAGTGAATAATATAATGCCGCGTCGACCGAATTCCAGTGACAGTTCCACGTCAAAGTGTCAAACGCCAGGGTTGCATTGCAGCGAGCTGTCACTTCGAGTGACAGATAGTAGCCAGATTTGGCTATTTGTAGCTATTAGTGCTGCCAGTCCCACCGATGTTTTTTACGCTATTCGATATTTTTGCGATAGTACGCGAAAGGGGCTAGGAAAGTTTTAGAAAGCTGCTTAAAATGTTACTTATATATGGAGAAATTTAAACAAAATAAAATTAACAACCATTTCAAAGCATTTTCATACCAAAACATCGAAAGAAACGGCGGTGCTCTATCGATAGTCGCCAAACATTGATGTTTGGCCATATCCTATCGATAGCCGCCAAACATTATCGATGTTTCCCAAATCGATGTTTCTCCACCTCTACTATCCACTCGAAAATCACATCGGAACGAAATCGAGTGGAAAGCGGAGCGAAAAAACAAGAAAGTAGATTAAAAACACACAATTACAATTAATTAATTGTAATTTGCCCGAAAATGCAAAACAGTGTGTGCGCGCGCGAACGCAGGGTTATCAATTGAATTAAAATCAACAACGTAAGTGCAGGCGACAACAACAACAAACGTGTGGCGTGAATTTTTTTCTTGTGAAAATGAAAAGGCGAAAAGTGTAATAAAAAAAGTGAAAAGCAGGAACAGGAAAACAAAAAAAAGAGAATTCAAGAAACGAAAAAAGGCGACTTAAAGTCGGCAAACTCCACAATTTTTGCTAATTAAAGTATTAAATAATTTAGTTTATTTGTTTGCTGCCGCTTATGACGCCAAAAACAACAACAACAATAAAGAGAGCAACAGTCGAAAGAGGAAGAAGAAGCAGCGGCGGCAGCAACAACAAAAAGAAATGCAACGTGCAACGTGCAAGAAAATAAGGTTTTTTGTTGTATTAAACATTTAAAATTGGTCGCGTTGTTGTTTTTTCGCTGCCTCTCTTTCGCGCACGTTGCAAACCTTAAAGAAGAAGCAGAAATGCAGAAAGGAACAAAAAAGAAATGAAAAATTGAATTGTTTAGGTGTATGTGTTTGTGTGTGAGCGCGCCACATGAGGATGAGGAAATTGTCGGCAGCGACGCCGACTGCGACGTCGGCAGCACGCAGAACCAAAAAAAAACAAAACAAAACACATAAACCCAAAAAAATAATCCACAAGAAAAACATAAAAAACAGTGGAGGTCACAGAAGTAGCATACAAGTTTAAAAGTTTTTATTTAAAGTTAAAGTTATAGCATTATGTTTGTTAAAATAAAAGTGCCTGGGAACAATGTAATTTATTTTCGCAAATCTAATATTTTCATCTTCCAATTGTGAGAATATCATCCAAGTGCTAATATTTTGACCGCAACTGTTATTTTTTTGCCTGCCACTGACTCACGTTTCATTGATAAGACGAAGAAATACGGGGAGAGAGGGGAAAAGAAGCTAGAAGAAGAATATAGGAAAAGGATTGCGGAATGTCCCAAAATAAACAAACAATAAATCGCCTTATCAGCTCTATAAAATCTTATTTGTGTTTTTCTCTAGTTTGCAAAAATTTAAACGATAACAAAAATATACAAAAGGAGGAAATCAACAATAATTTGTAAAAAAAAAATCCAGGAAAACATCAAGAAAATTATAATCATCCTGTGTTTTTGGTAAGTATCATACTATTTTTGTTTATATCCCAAAAAAAAAATGTTTAAATTTAGACTGTAAAACCGTTGAAGAATCCCTACTTTTTGGGCACTCTCTTTATCACTTTCTTCCTGTGCTCGCTACTTCCACTTCTTCCATTTCCCGTTGTACGCAAGCAGCGAAAGTTGCCTTCCTGGTTTTTCTTCTCTGTGTACAGAGAATTCTTCCGAACCTGCGAGAATTCGCAGAGAGAAGATATCAAATGTACCTAAAAAACAAAGTTGTCAACCCAAAATCTTCAGAACTTCTTGTGAATTTTTTAAATATAATATAAAAATGTAATAAAACTTAAAAGCTGATAAGCACTTTCATTCACAAATTCATAAATATAAGACTTCTGAAAAATTTTTATTTAGTAGTAAATAAGTTAATATTGCTGTAATACCGAAAAAAGTTAATAGCTCTTATTTATAATTGTCTAAAATTACGGCAATAATCTTGATGGGAAATAAAGTGATTGGAAACAAATTATAGGAAACTCTCCGTGTAATTTTCATTCAATACCCAAGAGGTTGCAATTTTCCCAGCTCAAATACGCGGCAATTTTCCAATTTTCGCAGTGAAATTATCGGGCACTTTTAACCGAGTTTTTACCTTTTAATTTCGTTGACATTGCCCTGAACTTGAGGACAATAGGCAAATAAACAGATAGACAAAAGAAAAAACACACGCACAACTCTGCTGCAAATGGTAAAAGTCAATAGATAATTACGTATAATGAGCAAAGAATAACGTTGCCCAATTGGCAATTATTGCAACAATAGTTAAATCCATTACGTGTTTTTTCCCCCCGCTTTACACTGGCTAATAATAACGGGCATTTCGAACTCGAACCGAATCACGAATTGTAAGAAAATTCAACTTTATTCGCCGGACTTTGGTTACTGTTACTGTTATTACCACTCCATGGGTTAATGTTTTTTTGTATTTTGTTTTTCTTTATTTTTTTTTTTGTGTCTTGGTCAACACGCAAGAAGCAAAAGTAACACAAGAAAACCAGAGGGGAAAAGAAATAAAAACACCAACAAACTGAAATTACATAAAACCTTGAAGTTGCACTCGAAGAAATTACAAATCTGTTTTTAAAAATGTGTGATGAGAATTCCAAAAAATTATGGGGGAAGTTGTATAAATGTTACAATACCCACTTAAAATCTGGAAAATATCTATTCCTCATATTTATAAGACTTTCGAATCCTAAGTCGACATAAAAGTATGCAACAAAATATTTTACGTTTAGAATTCATAAAGGATATATCCCGAAATGAACTTTAAAAGGCCATTTAAAAATTGCTAGAGTACAATGTGATATCATCTATAAACATATAGTTTTCGCTCAGTGTAGGGACGGGGTTGCGGGCCTGGGAACCGCTGTCTTCACCTTCTGCCTCAACTATAAGCCTGATGGAAGCGGTCCGAGCACGAGCCGCCTTAACCCAACGCGGGGCAAACGAACTCAGACTCTCAAGTCCGAACCAAGCCGCTTGATTAACCTTCTTTTTTATTACAATCATTTTTGGTTGACTCTTTTGCCCGTGTGCTTATTGTTTTTGTTTTGGTCATGGTTTCAAGGCGGCCACGTTCGGGATGGGAAATTAAATGCACTGCAATTACTGCACCCAAAAAAAGTCAAATAAAAAAATAAAAAAAGAAAAAAAAAATAAAGAGAATGGATGTCGGGGGCCTAGATAGGATCTCGGGGGCCAAAGCGAAGAGAACCAGAGTTCAAGGGAAGAGATGTGGTTACAGCTGAATAGGCTTCACTTTTCCAGTACAGTGGGCATAAGGAAAATCAGGTTTTAATTGTGGAATATTCAACGAGCAACTGGTATTAAAAATTAAAACGTAGATTATATGGAATTTTCTTTGAGAGGTTGCATATCATTAAAACTCTTCATATCATTTCATTTTCATTCAAATGTTATTCAACGTATTCTTTATTTTGCAACACCCCATGAGTTATATTTACTTACTTACTTTTTTTTTTGCAATCTATTACTCATTTGTTGTTGTTGGTTCGTCGGTTAATTAAGCTCAAACATTTGTCAACAGCTTGTCGTTGTTCTTTTTGTTGCTTTGTTTGGCTTTGTTGCAAGTCGCGTGAAAATTACAACGTTATACAATTTAAATACTAGAATTAAGCACTTGTTATTGTTGTCGTCGTGCTTGTTGTTGCATGACGAGAAAGCGGGAAAGGCGGCAAAACAGTCGAGATGACATAACCCCAAGCATAATACTAATATCATACAGATGAGATCAGAATAATAGAGTTTACAGAAGGGTTTACATTATTTTTAGTACCCTCAGATCAGTTTTACTCGGGATCCGATTCCCTTATATCTTTAAAATTCATATAATACATTTTTATTCGCCCTACTCCAGATTTGTTATTATTCAAAAAAGAAAAAAAAAGAATGCCAAGGTCGTCGCTTATTTATTATTCACTGTTTTCGGGCTGCGAGCTCTTGTTCTTCTCGTTTCGCGATAACAGAAGAGCAAGTAAGTTTCTAATGAAATGACAAAAACTTTGGAACGTGGAAGTGCGGCGGAAAAAAAAAGTACATAGAAGGTACACAAGAAAAATAACAAGTGCGACGGAAAGCAATCGAATTCGCTAGAGTAAACGAGTTACCGCCCAGCACCACCCTCAGCTTTTTTTTTTATTTCTGTTCTTTAAGAACCGGAAATGGGGCCAACAAGAACAACTCGCTAAGCGTTACACAGAAATATTTAACATATTTCGCTCTTGTTGATTTTTGCGCTATATCTGAAGGCATTTTATCGTATGGCATTCTATAACTAAATAAATATATGCTTAAGATATTACTTGTGGATTTTCAATGAATTAATGTTATAAATATTTACCAAGGTACCTGTAATATTTATGACTTTCTTTCATTATTATTAATTGAATTTCTTTGCTGATATTTCAAACTAACCTAAACATACACAAAATCCCTGCAAGTACTATATATTTCCGAGTAATTATCAAGTTCCAAAGAAGTATAGTGTTTGCTTTCCTATCCCTAGTAGGATTACCTTCGGGGGCTTGAGAACAAGGTTCCCGAGAAGTGGCCAAACAAAAGGCAATTGGAGTATTGCGTTGATCTGTTGTCATTTGTCGCCCCTCGAATCGCTTAATATTTATATTAATATTAATCTTAATATTGACCGACAAATGGGAAGTGCAAACAAATTGAAATCGTCGTCGTTGGCGCAATTGTCTTGCCTTATCATTGCCGCCTGGCCGAAAGCAAACAAAAGCCAATTGCAAAAACAGACGGACGGGACGACACTTGAAAAATGAATTGAGCAAGCAAATTGCAGGGGAAACGAGAATTCGAAATACGAATTCAAATGGGAATGGGTATGGGTATGAGTATGGAAATGGAAATGAAAGGGGTGCCACTCTGATTGGGATTCGGTATTTGGTATTTGGGGATTGGGTATTGGGTTGGTTGTTTACCACCAGTTCGCAGTGCCGAGTGAATCGGACACCTTTCGTGTGTCCTCGCTTATTTCAGGTGCTCCGGGCAGAAGGGTGTCTAGTGATTGGGCTTTGTCCACCTTGTGATTACATTTCACGCCCCAATCGAAAAGCCAAAGGCCGGAAGAGTCGGAAAGGAAATGCAGCAGGAAGCAGTCAGTCCGTCAGCCAACTGCTGGCATTGAATCACTGAAAGAAATAATGGCAGAGTTAGGACGAGCTGATGTTCCTAGTTAAATACTATAAAATATAATTGTGGATTGAGTGGATTAGTTAATTTTAATTAATTTAGAAATGAAATAACAGAAATATTTAGAAAATAAATAACAGATAAATTTAGAAATTAAAAAACAGATAAATTTAGAAATGAATTTATAAATACATTCAGAAATGAATTCAGAAATCAATATATTTTAATATAAATAATAAAATAATTCTTTAATAAAATAACTTTAAATATTCAATTAGATATACAAATTAATTTACAAATATTTATAAAAATGCACAATTTAAAATCTATAAAAATATTTTCTTCTAAAGATCAGTGTTTGCAGTCACCTAGACTGTGCTTTTTTTTTAAGATGCTCCCACAGATTGTAGACTTATTAACATTTGTCTCTTGCTATTTATTATTTATTAACGTGCAGACGGAATCCAGATTCAACTCAGGTTTAGACTCATCAACGTCGCCATTATCAACTCGAGCGTTGTGATTATCCTGATGATTGTGGCCCTGCTGCTGCTGCTGTCATTTTATCTCTGGCCTCTGTTTTAGCTGCTTCGGGTTGCCGGGTGGTGGGTGGATTGGGTGGTTTGGCTGCCTGGCTTCTGTGCGGTGTGGCTAGTGGGTGGTGGGTGCTTTCGACACGTGCGACGGGCGCTAAGTGGGCGGCTATGTGCTATCTTTCGGCCTGCCAGCCGTTTCCTCTTATCATAAAACAAAGGCGGGAGCATAGGGAAAAACAACAGCAGTGTCTAAGTTTCCACGAGAAGAACTTGGTGAATACACTACCATTTTGTATACCAATGACTATGCATTCAAAAGTTATTCATTTCGTTTCATTTTGTTTTTGGAACTATGATTTCAATATTAAAAAATAAAGAAATAATGAAAAAACAATTTTTAAAAGTGACTACAAACCTTATAATAAGACCATGATAAAAACAGATTATTTAGGGTATATAAAAAAAAATCTAAAAAAGTACAACACTCAGACAAACTGAACAAACAGAATATCGTGGAAACAGCTAGGTGAACCGGGGAGGAGAAGGGGAACGGAGTGTGAAGTAGCATTGGGCGATGATAGCGGAGAACAAGCAAACGTAAATGCGTTGGAGGACAGCACTTGACTACAACAACTAAAGTCACACAAACAACCCAGTTGTGCAGTGTAAAAAATATTATATAAATACTATATTATGATCCTAAAATTACAGAAATCATATGGAACGAAAAGAGTCACATCCATTAAA